AAATTCAAGTGTAGGTAATTGTAAGGTGAATCATTGCCACGTGTTTTTTCTCATCCTTCTTCTCCATTCTCTTCTCTTTCTTTCCTATTTTTTTTTTTTTTTTACTTTCGTCGTCCTTATTCTTTTCCTAAGTTTTCTTAGGGGTGTTTAGGTGCTAATTATATAGGATTATTGAGGTTATGTTATTTTATATCATTGATTACTAATTGATTGTCGAATAATATAATTCCGATAACCTTTTAATACTAATACTAGTTATTATGGTAATATGGTGGTAATCTGATAACATCCATTTTCTTAGATATAGTAAGTTACTGAGGTAATTTATTTTTGTTACAATTATATTCCTATAATAAAATTTTAGGACAATAATACTCTAATTTTAAATTAATTTACATGAATTTGGCTTTTACTATTTCACCCTAATAATTAACCTTTTAGACAAAATTACCCTTGAATTAAAACAAATTGCAGCATACCCAAGCCACCACCCTACTCATCTGCTACTGCTTGCCGCACGCCAAACAACGCCGATCGTCTTTGGAAGTCGCCCAAAGAAGCTGAAAATCACCGTGAGTAGCCCATCGTCATCGAGAGGTTCGATATGACCGCTTTTGATCATATTGATGGTCGAAAATGACCATATCGGAGTAGATCTGGCCAAAAATGTCAATCTATTCTAGCCATTTTCAACTAGATCTTTTGCTTTTATCGACCATATTCTGGATGAGATATGACCGTTAACGGCCACATTATTTTGGCTGAAATAGATCTAGTTGTTAACAGCCAAATCCATGAATGTTAATAGCCATATCTACCAGATATGATCGTTAAAGGCCATGGATCTAGTTGTTAATGGCCAGATCCATCGATTGACCGAAAATGGTTAGAATAGATTTAGCCATTTCCGACTATCTACTCCAATATGGAATTTTCGGCCATCAATATGACCAAAAATGACTATATTAGAGTCTCTCGGTGTCTCTCGGTACTAGCAACGACTCCAAACGACTTCCAACTACTTCGACAACGGATGGCGCTGGCAGAGGTAGTGGCTTGGAGTGGTGGGAGTGATTTATTATAAATCAAAGTTATATATACGACGTGTTTTAGCTAAATCTGAAATATTAGGGGTTAAAAAAATATTTAAAATTAATAATAAAAATATTATTATATTATATTTTAGAAAGATGTAATTATAATTTAAATAATACATTTACCAATTTATTTTTTTAAATCAAAATAATAAATAATATATCAATCAATTATTCTAAACACCTAAACATAATTTTTAATTTTCAAGAATCTTGAGCTAACGTAACTTTCCAGTAGTGTAACATTTTTTAACCACACGTAACCTTAATGTTTTCTTTCTCAGATCCGAGCAAAGCCAAAACGGCCAGTCCTCTCTCACTTTCCTCTCTTCACTACGCCTCCCTACCTCCCTTCCACTGCTTCGCCCACCTCCAATTTCTCGCTCCACTCCCACCACCTTCCCTTCCCGCATCTCCCGCATAGCAGCACCAAACCACCCACTTCACTTCTCACCGTTACACCACACCGTCACTTGCTCTTCAAAACCACCCACACATCGACCACCTTGCTCGCCGATTACCAACTGCAGCGCTGTGATTGTTGTTTTGTATTCCAGAGTTTCTTGCTATGGCTTGTTTTTTGATGTGAGGAGTAGTCTAGAGTTTGTATTGAAGTTTGGGTGTTGTTGGTGTTTATTTGGAGTGTCTTGTGTTTGTTCTTGCTGGATTAAACCTGCCAGTAACCGCCCTTCACTCCCCAACGCAGCTGCACACCACCTATTCGTTGAAAATCCGCACCCGCTAACTTTTCCCTATGATTTGTTTGGATGGTGAGAAAATTGAAGACTTTTGTTTTGAAGGGAATTTGATGAGAATTGTTTTTAGGGAGGCTTTCTTTGGTGACAAAAGAAATGTTACTGAAAATGTTATTCTTGAGTAAGTAAACTAGGAAGAAAATGTTTAATAAAATTTAAAAAAAAAAAATGAGAAGAACTGATATAAGAAAAAGAGAAAGAAAGTAAATGAAAGGGAGAAGAAAGTTAGAAGAAAAGAGAAGAGGAGAATAGATGGAAGAAAATTAAAAAGAAAAACAATTTGGGGTTTTTTTCTTAACAAAAGAAGAAAAATAAATTGCCCATTTATGTTATACGAAGGTTATTAGTAATTCATATTAAAATTAATAATTGACATTGACAATGACATAAAATTAAGTTAAATAATAAAAGGTTTTTTTTATCTTCACAATAGATCGTTGTAGTTACAAAAATTATTAATTAAATATAACTTTTGGCTAGTAAAATTGTACTTTAAAACGATTTGGATGGAAAATGTGGTAGGCCATTAATTGGATGGGAAAAGTCATTTACTAACAATTTTTAGAAAATTAAGCGATGAGGATAACCTTTATATGACACGGTATGACGCATTTTAGGATACGGCAACAATTAATTTTCTTAAAGGGGAAACGACTAATCCTACCCAAGGTTGTGTGAAACGATGATTGGTACCTAAAAATTTTAAAATAACAAATAAATACTTTCGTTAGTGAAAAGACTAGAATGCCTTTTAAGAAATATTAGTTTATTTTTAATTATTTTAGACCCCTTAAGTATTAATTCTATCAAATATTTAAAAATTAACAAAAACCCCATCCACCCATACTTGTCAGATTCCTACAGTGGTAGCTGAAATCTGTCACACGGTCTATGCCACCACCGAAAATGGTCGGTAATTCACTGATCTGTCATTTTTCAGCCAGATCCACACGGATATGACCGAAAAATGCCAGATCTAGAGTTGACAGCCGCAACACTCCATCTTTGGTTGTCGCTGACGACCAAAGATGTGGCCGTTGTCTGTCAACAATGGCCAAGATTTGGGCGCCGTTGATAGTCACGACGACCATTTTTTTGGCCGTCACTTTTCAGCCATATCTGGCATTTTCACGTCAGATCTGGTCGGAAAAGGCCAGATCGTGAATTACTGGCTATTTTCAGTGGTGGCATAGATTGTGTGATAGATTCGGTGGTAGCCGAAATCTGGCAAGCATGGGTGGGTGTGGGGATTTTTGTTAATTTTAAACTTTTTTCTGGGGGTATTTGATGGAATTAATAAACTTAAAGGGTCTAAAAGTAATTAAAAAAAGACTAATATTTCTCTAAGGGCATTTTAGTCTTTTCACTAACGGAAGGTACTGTTTGTCATTTAAAACTTTTTGGATACCAATGATCGTTTCGCCAAACCTTGGGTAGGTATAAGTCGTTCGGCCTTTTCTTAAAATCACAAGTCTTCCCTCGCATGTACTAGATCTCGACTTAATAGATCCTCTTTAATTTGTTGGCAAATTATCGTAACCTCCCTAATCTTTGCTATAAATTTTGACACTCCCTCTACTTTGGTAAATCCTATTAACCTCCCAAGTTGTTATTGGTCTCCGAGGTCAGGTAGATATGTCTCACAAACCCAACTAGGCATGCAAGTTCCCCGGATTTGGGGACCGTCCCGCCCTGCCCATATGGGGTGGGGAAGCCCCGTTTTTTTGGGGAAGGGGCGGGGGTGGGGGGTGTTTAATCCGTCCTCGGGGATAGGGTAGGGGGGTGATGTCTTCCCTGCCCCACCCCACCCCGCCCTGTATATATATATAAAATTAAAAATTAAAAATATATATAGTATATACTTTTCACTAATCCCTTATATTTTACCTAATTACACAATTATCCTACCTATATAAACCCATATTTTCCCAATTTCCCTCATCCTAAACAATTGAACAAAAACAAATCTTCCCATATTTGTATAATTAATTATGTTTAAATGATCAAGTGTTTATCGCGTGGACGAAATTAACTATTGTGTTGGTGATGTTCAAATTAATTTATGTATATAAAATTAACAGGGCGAGGACAAGCCTCCAACATTCCCCTTTCGGCCAAGGAAGGGGAATTCCTGTTATCCCGGTAACAGGGAGGGGGCGAGGGTGAGGAGTGATTTTGAGGGCAAGGATGGGTACAGTGAATGAGATCCCTACCCCATTGCCATGCCTAACCCCGATAACATATCATCTCTTCCATCTAATGTTGAAATTGATCAATAGCGTTATCGAACCAGTAAGGTAGATTTCCTAGAAGGATATGACATCGTCCTAAACTGATGCACTGACCAGTCACCCCTATAAGAAATGAAGACACTGCCATAGGCGGTAGGAAAAGAAGATTCAGGAGAGTGTTTTGAGAATGGATGATACATATAACTCTATTCAAAGTAGTAAATTCCTTTACTTCCAAGTATCTACAAAACTTGACAACTTAACTTCATTGACATTAAGAACTCTTGCTGTTTATGCATTGCTGCTGCTGCCTTCACCAAGATGATCTTTGAGAATTTCTCTTAGGTACTCTAGCTGCTCAAAACTCCCCTGAAGTTCTCCCACTACAGGGAAAGAAAAGAAAGAAAAACGAAGTTATCTGTAGACACTATTATTTAATACAGTTAGTCATGTTTCCTTTACGCATGGTGTGTAATGAATCTTCATCCCAGATAGAAAGTAATTGTAAAATTCTCAAAAAATCTCTCACCTTAGTAATTTTTTCATACAACTAATAACGATTTGACTATAAGAAAATTGAAAAATTGCTTAAAAATATAGTAGGCATGGTATCATCACATAGTTTCAACTCGACTCATTGATGATATGACAATCAAAGAGAAGTAAGAGTTGTCTTGGGAGAAAAGATTTATTGAGAACCACCAAGCAAAGGATACAAATAAAGAAAAATATACACAATAAGATTCATAATTATATAGCCTTAGAATCAAAGTGAATGGGTATTTGCATGATTTAGTTTTCTAATTAATTATCTACCACATAAAAATTATAATTATAACATGCAATTTAGAACTACATAACCGTAATCAGCCAATGATGAAATGACGAAGTTAAATAAGAAAGAAAGTGATTTAATGTACCTCCTCCTCATCATCATCATCACCACCACCACCATCTTCTTTGTTCTTCTTGAGGCGTGTCGTACCACCCTCCTTGCTGATGGGTAACTTCATAGCCCCAAAAGGTGTGTCTACATCAATATGTCCTTTCATGCTGTAACCAGTACCTTTTCCTCTAATCATGTCCCAAAGTGCAGAGCCAAGGTCCTTGGGCCTGAAGGTAACTGGAAGCTCAAGATAACTGATTGCATTCTTATCAATTTTGGTCGATTTTGCAAGCTCAGCACCCCCAATGCTCTGATCCCCAAGCCAAACCTCATAATCTAGTGAATTGAGGCCCAAGTCAAACTCATTCTTATTTTCCAACTTCAAATGAAGAATTGCAACAGTTTCTTCAAATGAGAATCTATCAAAATTTATTTTTTCAACATCAATATCGGGCTTGTAAGGTATGGGGATCTCCCCAGTTTTCTCAAGGGGAATAGTTATCCTTCCAAAGACAGGCACATCTACAATCAGGTCTACCTTGATCTTGTATGGAATAATGCTACCAGGCTGAATTTCACTATATGTGCTTTTTATGTCATCAAATATCAAACTAACTGGGATTTTGATGGTCTCCTCTCCACGTGCGTGAATAGTTCCAGAATCCGGGATTAATCCAGAAACTAGTTTCCTTCCATCACTTTCAATCAAGTAGTTTATGTCGATCAGAGGGATTGGTACCGGATTTGGGTTTTTAATGAGCACATCAACAACAATATCTGCCTGCTCAAGATTAAACTTCGGAATGTGAATCCCACTAATATCAGCAGTTGGCTTCCCAAATCCAATTGTTTCCTCAATCTTCTCACCAATATCATGGATAAAATCCTTCACCTTATCAATAAATCCGCCCTCTCCTTCTTCTTTGTCATCCTTCTTCTGCCCCCTTTCAACTATTTCAGGCTTATCCGATGATGCCATACCTTTCATATACCAAGCATTAAAAAGTTAGATTGTACAATAACCATGGAACACAAGACACAAAACATACTTAAAACAGAGAGCAATCAATTCCATGTACTCTCAAAACAAAAACCGGCCAATGAAAGCCCCTAAACAGAAGAAGCTAAAATTATGCCAAATTTAACAATTCAATAATCAAGATCTTAGAGATCAGTGACTTTATGATTGAAAAAGTATAAATAGCAATGTTATACAAAATACGAAAGCTTAAATTCAACATCAGCCCCTAAAGCAATCAAAGAACACTGATTTAGGACTTATGAAATCAATCAAAGATTAAATATATAAAAAAAAATATCACTAGGGTGGTCGTTGATAATGGATCATGATTCATAATCATATCATAAAAAGATGCAGATCACAAGTTAACAAAAACAAAACCAATCCCATTTGCTTAAAAGAGTCACAAATGCACACATCTTAGTTCAAAATCAATACAAAAAGTACTGATCAAATCAAGCCAACAACAAACAGCGTCACCATGTACGTTCATTCATATATTTTAAAATCAAAGTATGATCATATTCATATTACAGAAGACGCAAACTTGATCACATTTTAACATAAACAAGACCAGTAAAATTGCTAAAACAGTCAAATTTGTCAACGATCCATACATTCCATGAAAAATCAATGCAAAAAGTATCAATCAAACCAGATCAAACCAACAATAACGGTATCACTAAGCAGGCTCATTCATATACTTTAAATGAAATTCTGATCACATTCACATCACATAAAGATGTAAAAGTGATCACAATTCAAAAAAAAAAAAAAAAAAAAAAAAGAAAACCACCCAAAACTTCCAATGATCTACACATTCCACGAAAACCAATGCAAAAAGCAACAATCAGATCAAACAAAAAACGAACAGTATCACCATGAAGGCTCATTCACATACTCATAGATATATATACAAACACATCAGATCTACAAAAAGAAGAAACAGATTCGATAAACAGAATCAAGTTGAAAAGGGATTTGATTTACCTTAAAAATTGTGAAGTAAACGATCAGGTTCTGAGACGAGTTCAAGACAGGACAACGAGAAACAAGAGCCACCAAGCGGCTCTAACACTTGGCAGATAATATTTAATACAAAGTGGTTGATTTTTTATTATTTAATTTTTGGTGGGTTCATCAGGAAATAATTAAAGTAATGATTTGCTGACAAAAAGGACGAACTTTTTTCAATCAATCAATCAAGATCTGGCCTATGTGTGAATAAGGTTAAAAAGGATAAACAGAGTGTAATTTGGCCCACTTCTACTATTCTATATTTAATGATTATTTTATCACCTGAATTCGTAACTAGAGGTGCCAATTGGGTCGAATCGGCAAAAGTCTAGCATAGAAAATGGAAGTCAACAATGGGTCGGATTTGGTTAGGCCAGTTTCAAATTTTAGACACGAAATTGAATAAATCCTTATTGGGTTCAATTAAAAGGACAAACATTGTGATTGTGAATTGTGTTTAATCAATTTATGACTAAACGGCATTTTCTATTCAAATAAAGGTCTAATGGCACCTTCCCATCTAAAATATTTTAAAATATAATTTTATTACCCATAACAAATTTCTGTTAGTACATTTCACTGTAAAGAGAGGTAGAATGGTCAAAAAATTTGTTAAAAGGAAGGGCAAAATGGTTACTTAATATTTTGCATAAAAAAATCAAAATTTTTAAATTCAAGTGTAGGTAATTGTAGGGCTGAATGGTTGCCACGTGTTTTTTTCTCATCCTTCTTCTCTCATTCTCTTCTCTTTCTTTTTTTTTTTTTTTTTTTCCTTTCATCCTCCTTATTCTTTTTTAAGTTTTCTAGTGTTTGGTTAGGGGTTATACGAGATTATTGATATTATGTTATTTTAATTACTTGATTACTATTTTAGTTGTCGAATAATATAAGATTCTGATAATCTTTCAATACTAATAATAGTTATTGTCGATATATGGAGGTAATCTGATAACCTCCATTTTCTTAGGTATTATAAGAATACTAAGGTAATTTTATTTTTTATAATTCTATTCCTATTAATAAAATTTAGGATAATAATATCCTATTTTAAATTAATTTACATGAATCTGACTTTTACTATTTCATCCCAATTAATTAACTTTTTAGACAAAATTACCCTTGAATTCAAAACAAATATAGCCCACCCAAGCCACCAACCCCACCCACCTACTGCCGCTAGCCAAACCATCGTCGGTCGCCGCCAAAGTCTCCCAAAGAAGCTGGAAATCACCGTGAGTAGCCTGCCGTCACCGAGAGGCTTCGATATGGCCGTTTTTGGCCATATTGATGGCCGAAAACAACCATATCGGAGTAGATCTGGCCAAAAATGGCTATATCTATTCTAGCAATTTCCAACTAGATTCATGGCCTTTATCGGCCATATCTGGATGAGATATGACCGTTAACGGCCACATCTATTTTGGCTGGAATAGATTTAATTGTTAACTGTCAAATCCATGGACGTTAATAGCCATATCTCACCTAGATATGGCCGTTAAAGGCTATGGATCTAGTTGTTAATGGCCAGATCGAACTGGCCAGAATAGATCTGGCCATTTCCGACCACATCTACTGCGATATGGCATTTTCGGCCATTAATATGGCCAAAAACGACCATATCGGAGCCTTTCGGTGTCTCTCGGCAACTCGCAACGACTTCCAACTACTTCCGACAACGGATGGCGTTGGCAGGCAATGGCTTGGGGTGGTGGGGGTAATTTTGTTATAAATCAAAGTTTTATATAAGCGGAGTGTTTTAGCTAAATCTGAAATGTTGGGGGTTTAAAGAAATATTCAAAAATTAATAATAAAAATAATAATATATTAATATTTAAAAAGAATGCAATTTAATAATTTAAATAATATATTCACCAATTTATTTCTCCCTAACCAAACATATTAATATAACATACCCACCAATTTATTCTAATTAACTAAATATATTTTCCTAAAGATTCTCAATAATCTTCAGGGGGCGTTTGGTTCGGGTGTATCTGTCATTACTGAGGGTAAGTGATCTTATATTACTTGATTACCATGTTTGGTTATCAAGTAATATAAGATACCGGTAATCTTCAAATACCAATAATGGTTACTATTGGTAATATTGGAGGTAATCTGATTCCCTCCATTTTCTCAGGTTTTCTAAGATTACTAAGGTTATCTTTTTTTGTTACAATTTTATCCCTTATTAATAAAAATTTTGGACAACAATGCCCCTATTTTAAAAGAAATTTACATTAATATCTTATTTCAATTTTACCCTTGTTTAATTAAAATTTTGGACAATAATGCCCTTATATTTAAAACAATTTACAGACCACCACTGCCACCCAGCCACCACTGCCGATAGTGGGCCAACCACCACAGACCGCCGTCGGAAAGTCGTCGGAGTCCCTAAAAAGAACGAGATTCGATGGGAGGCTCCGGGAGGCTTCGATGTGGCTGTTTCCGGCCATATTAATGGCCAAAAACGGTCATATCAGGCCAGATCCATCGATATGGCCAGAATATCTGGCCTGATATGGCCGTTTTCGGCCATCAATATGGCCAGAAACGGTCATATCGAAGCCTCTTGGTCACTGTGGTGGCAGGAGGTGGGGGTGATTTTGTTATAAATTAAAGTTTTATATAAGCGAGGTGTTTTAGCTAAATCTGAAATATTGGGGGTTAAAAAAATTATTCAAAAATTAATAATAAAAATAATATTATATTAATATTTTAAAAAAGGACAATTTAGTAATTTAAATAGCATACTCACCAATTTATTACCTATAACCAAACATATTAATATAACATACCCATCAATTAACCAAACACATTTTCCTAAAGATTCTCAATAATCTTCCAAGGTAATCTATCTTTCCAGTAATCTAATATTCCTGAACTAAACGTCCCCTCAAGGTAATCTAAATAATCCAACATTCTCTTAACCAAACGCACCATTTCTTTCTCATATCCGAACCAAAGCCAAAACGGCCAGTCCTCTCTCACTTCTCCTCTCTTCACTACGCCTCCCGCTACTTCCCTTCCACTGCTCCGCCCACCTCCAATTTCCTCGCTCCGCTTCCCCACCACCTTCCCTCCCAGCATCCCCCGCATAGCAGCACCAACCCACCCACTTCACTTCTCACCGTTACACCACACCCGTCACTTGCTCTTCAAAACCCACCCACACATCGTCCACCCCTGCTCGTCGATTACCAACTGAAGCGCTGTGATTGTTGTTTTGTATTTCCGGATTTTCTTGCTATGACTTGTTTTTTGATGTTGATGGAGTAGTCTGGAGTTTGTGTTGAAGTTTGGGTGTTGTTTATTTGGAGTGTTCTTGTGTTTGTTCTGGCCGGATTAACCCTATCAGTCACCGCCGTTCACTTCCCAACGCAACCTACACACCACCTATTCGTTGAAAATCTACACCCAGCTAACTTTCCCCTGCCGATTTGTTTGGATGGTGAGAAAATTGACGACTTTTGTTTTAGAAGGGAACTTTGATGAGAATTGTTTTTAGGGAGGCTTTCTTGGTGACAAAAAAAATGTTACTGAAAATGTTATTCTTGAGTAAGTAAACTAGGAAGAAAATGTTTAATAAAATTAAAAAAATAAACTGAGAAGAACTGATATAAGAAAAACAGAAAGAAAATGTAAATGAAAGGGAGAAGAAAGGAAGAAGAAAGAGAAGAGGATAATAGATGGAAGAAAATGAAAAAGAAAAAACAATTTGGGTTTTTTTTATTTTATTTTATTTTATTTTTTAACAAAAGAAGGGAAAAATAAATTGCTAATTTATATTATATGAAGGTATATTAGTAATTTGATATATTAATAATTGACAATGACATAAAATTTAAGTTAAATAATAAAAGGTTTTTTTATCTTCACAATAGATTATTATCTTCGCAATAATAATTGGTAATTTTACAGATGTTAAGAGAGACTTTAGGCAATGACAGCGAATATGTGATAGTTTCAGGTAGATATATCTCACAACCCCAATAACATATCATCCCTTCCATCTAATGGTTGAAATTGGTCCAATAACGTTATCGAATCAGAAAAGTAGATTTCCTAGAAGGCAATGACATCGTCCTAAACTGATGCACTGACCAGTCACCCCTATAAGAAATGAAGACACTGCCATAGGCAGGTAGAAAAAGAAGATTCAGGAGAGTGTTTTGAGAATGGATGATACATATAATCTATTCAAAGTAGTAATTTTCCTTTACTTCCAAATATGTACAAAACTTGACAACTTAACTTCATTGACATTGTAAGAACTCTTGCTGTTTATGCATTGCTGCAGTTGCCTTCACCAAGATGATCTTTGAGAATTTCTCTTAGGTACTCTAGCTGCTCAAAACTCCCTTGAAGTTCCTCCCACTACAGGGAAAGAAAAGAAAGAAAAACGAAGTATTAGATGATTCGTTATATCAAACAGACACAGAATCTTAATTAGTTTCAATCCATGCTTTCCATCAAACCATGTAAAAAGTTTGACATTCATGTTCCGCATAATAAGCTCACCTCTTGATGAGACAATGACACCACCTTCCAACCAGCAGCTGCAATGTACCGGCGTTTCAGCATGGTATGTCCTAAAGGTGCCCCTGCAAAGAGAAATAAGAAGATCAAAGGAAGTGCAGGTGGTCAGTTGACTTGATCAAATATCAGATAAACATGGATGCTGGATTGTTACAAAGACACATACCTGTGTTCCTCGAGAAATGAGTTGGTCCATCAATCTCAAAAGCAACCTTCTTATCGACTAAAACGGCATCAACAGTGTATCCATCCACAACATATTCTCTAACCCAATCAAGGCCAGTGCTAACGAGAAGACGAGCAACTTCCTTCTGGAATGATGAAGTCACTTTTTGATTAAACCTCTTAGTTCTCCCGGCACGAGCGATTTTTTCCTCAAGATCACTATTGAGAACTAGCTGAAGGTGTGGATACTCAAGTTTTAAGCACTGGTTCACAAGATGAACCTGGGTTGCAAACATGATATCCTCCCTATACTGCTCCGAAATCCTTTGCTGCTCGAAACAGCTCATAGTTTTCCATACATGGGAGAAGAAAATCCGGTCCATTTGTCCCAGAACAGCATATGACCAAGCTATATTCCCAAGTTGATCCCTGTTAAAGCTGAGCACCGGAGAGACTAAAACTCCTTCGCAGTTGAGATCTCCACTACGTTTAGATAATTCTTTATTTAAACAGCATTTGAATTGGTTTTCATCACTGAAAACATTATCTAGAGATTCAAGTAAAGGTTCAGCTGGCTCATATAATGAAGCAAAAGCCCACAACACCTGAGCAATCTCCTTTTCTTGAAAAGTGTGAATTATGTCTGATGCTCTTTTCGCTAATTCTGAAAAGAGATCAGGAGCAGAGTGCTGCATCGAAGCAAAAGCACCGGCAACATTAGCAACATTCTGTGAATTGAACTCCCCAACCTTGGTCAAGGCTACCTCGGCAACTCTATCCATCTCCGACAAATAAAGCAGCTCACCGCCAATCTTCGACAATGCCCATGCAATGTTCGATATACCTTGTGCTGAACATTCCGGTAAGGCTGTCATTGCAATAGCCACCAGCATTGACATCTCCCTTTGTCTAGAAAATGTCAACCTACGAGTTCTCAACATTGAGACTTTCTCCATGTTCTTGGCAATTCGATGTAGAGCAGTTGCAATGTTCAAAGGTGACAAAGGTGAAGGGGTCAAACCTTTCCCAACTGCTACAATCATCTCAGCAGTAACCTCCAACACCTCTTCTGCAGTCTGTGCTTCTACAATAGCTTTGTTCAAGTTAATTTCCTTCCTACGATCAGATGGCCCCGAGAATTGCGAAAGCCTCTGAACAAACTCCTCCATTGTCTTCTCCTTCTTTTCTTCAAACATCCCACCTGCCATCATACTCACCGTCCTTCTAAGGTTACTAGCACTATCATCACCATCACCACTATTCATCATAATATCATCTATTTCCATATCATCCTCCGAATCAAAATCCAAATTTTCTTCAATCACCTTCTTTTTCTTACCAAACTTCTCTAACTTTTTCTTATTCTTTTTCTTACTCTTCTTTGTACTAACCAAATCTTCCATCGAACTACTCAACCCCCTCGCCTCAATAGACTTAAGCGCAACTTTCCTTGCCCTAACACACCAATCCATCCCTTCACCATCATCTATCATCTTATCCTTCTCTTGCTTCTTTCTCTTCTTCGGAGCTTGATAACCGAACGGATCAAGCTCCCCAAGAAACTCCATTTCCCAATCCATGCTCTCTTCACTTCCACCCTCTTCCTTCTCAACATCACCCTTAACTCTCGTCCCCCTAACACTACCATCTCTCTTCAAATTCAAACACTTCATTCTCCAAAAACCAGCCTCGAGTTTTCTGGTAAAAACCCCATTTCTCAGTTTAATCATAGGAAAATTATGAACTATTCTTGGATTAAAAACAAAGGGTTTCACGCAACTTTGGTGAGTGAATGCGTTTAGCAATCCCTCCATTATTGTAAATTTCTATTTTACCTACTAAATAAAGAACAAAACAATGAACTGAAACAGTAACTAACAGTTAAAACAGAACTCAGAACTTTATATCTTCAGCTACGTACAGATATTAAAAGTGGATAAAGAAGAGAATTGAGAGAGTTTAATGAGAAAAGGAGAGCATACCCATGTGGAAAATCCACTGATTCTCACAAAGAAATGAACTTTATAAGGAAGTGAGTGGAGTTCAGAGGTTTAAGATGGGGTTTTTGCTTGCAAGGAAGCAAAGCTTAACCGAACTGGATAAGAGAGTTAACATTGGAGAGACGAAGTGACCAAGTATGTTTTGTGACTAACGCTGTCGTTTGATGGAGGGGACATTGACTTTAAAGAGTTTTTTATTTATTTATTTTTTATTTAAAAAAAAAAAAAAGGAACAATTCCCGAATCCAAATAATTTTCTCATATAATGAACTAATTTGACTTTATTATATGACTAATAGTAAGCTCATCATACATGAAAACAATGAAGAAATTTGAAGATGTACATAGACTAAAATTATTTAAATCTTGAAATCTTATTATCAACAATATACTTTCAATGACATTTTTGGTGTATCTTAATAAACTATCCATAAACATTTTTATCTCAAGGATACATACTTAACTATTTCTTTTTTCTTTTCTATACTTATAAATCTTTTTAACCTTTTAAAGGTTTCATCGAACTCTACAATCTTTTGAGGTTATCATGTAATGATTTTATTTGAATTCTTTAAAGAATAATTGAAGAAGTATTTTTGCACATAATTGATCTCACAAAATGCTGCCATCTGGGATCAAAGCTCCCTCAAGAACCACCACTATTCCACCACTTATAATGTAGCCATTTGCCTCTCTGTCCCCTTCTTGGACATTGTCTCTATTGATGATCTGCATTTACACCGATGCATAGATTTGGAGTTAGCGAAGAATGAAACCTTGTATAATTGCTTCAATTATAGATAAGAACATGAGTTTTGAGTATCATATAGATGAAATATCTTGGTTGAATTTTTTTTTTTTTTTTTTTTTGAAGGTATATTGAATTAAACAGATAGGTTTGCACATTTTTATGATCTAAAAATCTGTATCAGAGAAGGATTATATATTAAAATAAATTGATGAAGATTGATGGATTGCATATATTTACCATAACATTTTTGCCAATCCTTGCATTCTTATCAATAATAGCTTTTCTTATTTGAGTATCTTCACCGATCCCCACTGGAATGGCCCTGGCCTGGCCTTCATTGGCACTGCTTTCAACATCTTCTTTCTGCTGAGTCCACAGACATTATATAAAGCATTTAATCTTAAATTTCTCATTAATGAAGCCACAAGAGAAGCAACAATGAAAGAAAAGCGGCAAATGCCATTTTCTTTCAGAAACTTTCATAAATGATACTAAGAGGAAAGCCAAGAAAAGCTGATTTTATGTGTTTTGGAAGATCTATTAAGTGGAATAAAATAAAAAACTGAGGGATGAAAGTCTGTATTGATTCTTCTTACTTGATAGATATCAGACCCCATGATCACAGAATTCTCTATTGTAGCTCCATCTCCGATTCTCGTCCTCATACCGACAATTGTACCTTTGATCTTGCATCTCTATTCTTAGAAATGTCAAAAACATATTTCCAGAAAACAAAGTAAAACAAGATTCAGGAATAAGATGCAATGCAAGGGCAAGATATGTGTGTTTTAGTACTTTCATTTATGTGTACTTACATTGATTATGCAACCATGTCCAATGACACTGTTTGATATCAGAGCATCTCTGATAAGAGATGGTGGCAGGCATCGAGGCATCGTGTAGACGGGGGAATCTCTGTCGTAGAAGCTGCCATTAAGGAATGAAGTTTGAGTTAGTTGTGGGGGCGAGCCACATTCACTTGCACTATACTTTCAGCCTTATTTCCCAGTAATTTAATCACTGACTTATATCTCATATTTGATGTCTTTGTGCACTCCATGTTTGCTTGGTAAAATGCTTCTATGCTCCTCATGTCCTCCCAATATCCATCAAATCGATAAGCTTCGACCTGCCATCAGAAGTTGAGGATCAAAAAATTTGATGTTGCGAATCTTAAAATAGGTGTGACTAATGGAAATTTTTAATATAATCAGCTGAATCTGACCTTCATGCCAATGGATATTGCACCTGGTATTAGTTCATATCCGAAATCGTTCGCTTCAGGAAAGTGTTCATTTACAAGCCTTGCCATTACATCTCTGTTAATGAGATAAATCCCCATGCTTGAAATGTTAGCATGAGTACTGTTTTGGAATCTTCTTGAGGCTTGTGCCTGAAATTTAGATAAAAGCTTCTGAATGAAACTCCTAAGAAGCTAAAGTTTTATGAAGATGAGATTGCAGGAAGGCAACTCACTGAAATGGAACTCATTGGTTCACTATCTGACTTCATGCTGAACTCTATGACTTGATTTTCTGAATTCACTTTCAGAAGGCCTAAACCAGGGTCTTGATCTCTTATAGCACTTGAAGCCACAATAGTTATATCAGCTTTTCTGTTTCGATGACCTTCAATTAGCTTCTGATAATCCATTTTGTACAAATGGTGGCCTGGAAGGACCAGAAACTCATCCACTGGATGCTCTTCTAGCACCCACAAGCATCTTCTTATTGCATCTGCACTTCCCTGGCAATGAAAACAAACATACAGATAAGAAAAAAAAAAAAAATTCTTATAACATACATATATGATTGAAAATCAAGACTTGACCCTATAGAAGTAAAAGTTGAGAAACCTGGAACCAGCCCTGTTCTTCAAGGCCCTGATATGCAGCAATGACTTCGACAAATCCCTCTTTCCCGCGAAACACTCCAGAATAGGCTCTTGATAGGTGGAAGTTGAGAGAAGTAGAGTTGAATTGCGTGAGAGCATAAATCTTGTTTATGTTACTGTTAATGCAGTTGCTCACAACTGCATCAATAAGTCTATAGTTTGCTGCCATAGGAATAGCCCCTTCTGATCTTCTCTTCGTCAATGGATAGAGTCGCGACTCTGATCCATCTCCAAATACTATTGCTGCAACACTCTGCCATTAATGAACCCTCAAACATCAACTAAACATTTATGTGAAATTTCATGAAACATTGGAAAATTTATATGTAAGGTGATAAGTAAAGAGAATTAGACCTGGTCTACTGGTGGAAATAGTGATAATGGATACATAGGATGCTGAGGCTGCTGTGAGTTGCATATGAACAAGCTGCCTGGAGAAATGAAAGAATGAAGCTTCGACATGCGTTTCTGACGACTATGAGCCGATCCTTGAATGGGAAAGTTTGCCTGGGGATTGAATGTGGTGGGAAAAGAAAGCTGCAACGCCACCATGACAAGAGAGAGTGCAAAAGACAGATATATGCAGCTTTACAATATTATGAACTCTTGATGTTGCATTGATATTTAATAGAGAGAACAAGAGGGGAATATTTTGCTTTCCTCTTCCTCATGGCTAATGCAGAGAGATCTTCCTTGCATGTCTTGTCTAGTTTTTGAAGACAAAATGGCATAAACATTTATTAATCAATGATGAAAATCAAGTTAATAATCAGCTGTCAGAGACCTTTGTTTGTTCCACAATCTTTAACTTAGATTCTAAGCTTCTTATTGCTTTTTTCTTTATTCTTCTTTGGTTTGATGCAATTTGTCATGTCTTTCTTTGCTGTGATTCATGGTTAAGATTTGTATGCAAGATTGACAACACCAAAAATAGTTTAAAAAGGAGCCACAAAATGCCCACAATGTGCTCAAAACAATCTGAAAAAGAGATGGGATTGGCTCAGAAATCAATTTTATAATCATCTCTTTTTGAATGCCATAGGCTTTTTGAGTCTGGGGCAATTGGGTCAATTAGAGTGAGAATGAAGCTTGAAGATTGAAGCTTATTGCCAACACCAAGCAGGCAAGCACAAGCACTTTGGAATGGAGTAGTTTTCAAGGCAGGAATTGTCTCAGCTTTTTTGCCCCATGGAGTATTGCCATTTTAGAGAGCTTCTTTAATGTTTATATTAATTTATCAATGAACAAGCACAACTCCATGTGAATAACATGTTTAGGCCTTATGATATAGAATATGGTACCAAATTGTTCAACTTTCAAATCAGTAATATCCAAGCCTAAATTGTGCCCATTTCACTCTCTTTCCAATCACCAGTAATCAAAGCCATGTGCACAAGCTACCACAGGTTGACGCCGCATCAACACGTTAATGTCAAAGGTAATGGTCTCAACAATTTGGCCAGAGATAGATTTTATTCCCTTTAGTGAAAAAGGACCACAAATTATGAACCACAAATGAGACTTCCTGTAATTAATAACATCAAATACATCCTCTTTCATTCCAGTGCAGCACAGGAACAAATATTTGGGTAACAAAGCAATTAAGAAATAGTTCATCTAATTTGGAAAGGCTATGGCTACCCTTATGCAATTCTAAAAGAGCTCTATAGAAATTTCAGACTTTGGACACGAAATCTACAACAAAAACAGGCCATGTTCGGGGAAAGGAAAAAATGGGGAAAACGGATTGCATCCAAACTCTTCTTTGCATAGTCCTTAATTCAGATGGTGCTCAAACAAAGATGCCATTTCAATCTGCAATATAAGTGAAAATGATCAAGTAAGAACCAAATAATCTGGACATAAATTCAATCAAATGAAGAATTTTAATCTAGCAATTTAATAAGTCAGAATGAGATGCAACAGAATACACCGTCTTGAAAGGCAATCCTTAGAATTAAAAAGCCATTTTGAATTTTCAATTTCAAACATTCATGCAATACCCCTTCTTTCCTGACTTAAAAGTTTCAATATATGTGCACAATGGTCTGATTCAATTTATTTAAGGAAGACTAAGGATTCCTATCCTTTAGGAGAGTAAGTTACATACCATCTTTGGTTCTCATTTTTGGTGAGATGAATGTGACTAAATTTGATACCATTCTCCTATTGTTTTCTTCAGGGGATAGACAAACAGGGATAAAGGACTTACCAATTGGCTTCAATAATTAAGTCTATTTCATTCTCTGGATTAATGTCAGAATGTGGATCAGATGGTTAAAATAAATGATTAAAGAGTTGTCCAAAAGGAAACGCCAGAAGATAATATCCTAGCTATATCTTTTTTTTTAATATTTATTACCATCCCAAAAGACTTTTTTGAGAATTCAAATTTTGTAGTCAGCCAACTAAGAAGCAATTACTTAAAATGCTATCCTACAAGAAAAAAAAAAAAAATTAATTTCAGCACGAACTTACAGCAGTCAAAGCAGTCTCTGCACCCTTATTCCCAGATTTACCACCAGCACGGTTTAAAGCCTGTAATTATAATACAAGGCAAAAATAACAAATTATATACAATTTGATAGCCTCAAGAAAGGAATTCTGGAGACATTCTGCATGCAGCATAATTTTCATATATAACCTATTGTGTTATAACTTTACCTGCTCCATGTCTTCACAAGTCAGGACACCAAAAATGCATGGAACACCTACAAAAACAATAAGAAAAAACTTCAATTTTCATCATGAAACCAAATATATATTGAAGAAGGTGCAGTGCCAACTAGTTATGCATGCATTCAAAACAAAATCTGAAGCTATATATGATAAAATTACAAACAGGAAGCATCATGTGACTGAATTTTAAAGCTACTATATACATTACATTTAATAATAGATTCCTGGATGGTTAAATTAATGTTAGTATTAAGAACAGCAATATCCCAACCTTCTACATATCATTGATATCCCAACACACTGTAAAGATAAAGAAATCAATTCAATTATTAAAACCAAACCAAATACCAACCTGAATTCAGGCCGGCAGAAAGTACTCCTGATGCGGCAGAATTAGCCACAGCATCATAATGGGAAGTATCACCTCTTATCTACTGACAACATACAGAGTTCTACAGATTAGAGAGCCAATAGCAGAGAGGAGCAAACCCACAAAGATCAGAGAAGATTTTACAAGAACTTTTTTAAAGAAGTTGGGGAGAGAAAACATACCACAGCTCCAATTCATAATACTGCATGATATTTTCGAGACTTCCCCAGCCTTTCTGCAACAATACCGATTTCAAAACTACCGGGAACCCATACAACCTGAAGATTTTTCACAGTAAAAACTATAAATGAAAAGAGACCTGAGATCACAAACCCAGTTTACAATCACACAAGACATGAAACCACGGAAGCATGTCTATGCAATGCATCAATCCAGAACACCCGCTAATGGATTAAAAAAACTAAAATAATAGAGTATATGTAAAACGAATGAGGCAAAAATATAGTAAACCCATTACAGCCGCATACTTCCCTAAATATATACAATTTATTTACTGTTAATAAAAAAATCTCTCAAAATTTGAAAAAATGTTTTCCAAATTTCATCAAATTTATAGAATACCTCCCCATTTGGAAGAAGTTGTAGTATGTTTTCCACATTACAAGTTACCATACAAAAGTACACTTGGAATCAAATGAACCTTACAGTTATAATCTTAAAAAGAATTAGCCACATACATCAATATCTTCTTCTTTAACTGAATATTTTCTGAAAGTCTCCAAAGCTCCCTCCAACAATGGTTTTGTCACAATCTCATTAAACCGCGCTACAACCTCAACAATTCACAATTCACAAAAACAACCCAAATCAAAACCACCATCAAACAAACAAAACAAAACTTAAAAAACAAATCTTGACAACAAATATTAAATTTCTCCAAAACCGCACCACAGCAAAGCGGAGTCCCTCACTTCTAGTCAACGATCCAGTCAATTGTGTCACGGCTGCCGTTTCAACAACCGAGAAACGGTCGTTCCTCTCAAAAGCTACTTGGGTTCCAATTGCAAAGCCTGAAACTCAGTGAAACAAGTCAGTTAAAAAAGCCTTGACCCAGAAAGTCAAAAGAAGAATAAAATGAAGAGAAGTGAAACCTGGGAGAGAAGGAGAGTGTGGGAAGGAGATTGAAGAGGGTTTTGAGGAAAACCCATGGACATATTGAGGAGATGAAGCTGAAGAGGGAGAGTGGTGGATTGGAGTCTTGAGATTCAAAGCCATTTTTGTTGAAGTTTGGGAGGGAGAGAACTTGATTTTTGAGTGAGAATTGAATTGATGATATCTAGGTGAAATACAGTAGGAAATTATAGGGTTTAAATCAGGCTTAGATTAGGGAAGGGCTCAAGAAAATTTTAGGGGGTTAACTGATCTTTTCAATTTCTTAAAATATGATAAAGCCCGTTGCCGTTCCCATATAGTACTATTTGTTAAACTTTTGTATTCTTTCTTAATAATGTGTCCATTGGCCATTGCTTTTGTTTTATGTTTGCTACAGAGAGAAAATCATTATGCCCCCCACAGTTTCGTTAGATTGTTGTGGGAAACCATCTAATAGGATTCTTAAATGGACAACTCCCGTTAATTGTTCATAGAAAAATGGGGTAAAAATCAAATTAACCTTTTTTTTTTAATTTTTAGGTGGAGCGCTTAAGAAAATCAGAACTGCCCAAGAATGAGGTGGTTAATGGTGGTACGGGACATTACTGGCTAGGCATGGCAATGGGGCGAGTATCTCTTTAACCGTACCCATCCCCGTCCTCAAAATCACTCCCCACCCCCGCCCCATCCTCGTTACAAGAATGACAAAAATTCACATTCTCCACCCCATGGGGAATACTGGCTTATTCAGGAGTTGTTTGTCTGAGCTTCTAAACTGATCAAACCAGTTATAAACTATAAAATCAAGCTAACTTGTTTCTTTATACCTTTTTTGGACTTAATTATAAACTAAAAAAAAAAAAAGTTGGGGAGTGAGAGAGAGACTTTGACTAAGTATATTACTCATATTTAATTTTAAAATTTCATCGTATAACCTTATTTTTATATTTCAAACAAAGAATCTAAAAATTATTCATAAATTTTTTTTTTTTTAATTTTAGAAACATACTATAAAAAGGAATATTGCCCCTTTCATCCTTAAGGTTTGAGGTATGTTACACCTTGCTTGGGTATTATGGTAAACAAACACTTTAACCATGTCAAAAGACAAACATTAGTGTTGTGATTCATTTTCTTAACATCCTAAAGGTAATTCTAACATATCAATGGAATGTACACTTCATAAACCCCTTACAATGTTAAAAAAAAAAAAAAAAAATGAGCCAACAACATTTTCATTGGTTATCTTATAGGACTGAAAGTTTGTATCCCACAGTATTAGGGCAAAATAAACAAACCCCACATCTTAGGAATGAAAGTGTAAATATCCCGATGGAAAATTGGGAGTATTTGTTTGTTTTGAGGCTGATTATGAGCCTATTTGGCCGACCTTATTAAAATTAGCTAGTGCTTATAAGGTAATTTGAGGTTATAAACATTTGAAATTTAAGTAGTTACATGTTTGATTAAAGTACTTATAAGTAATTATTAAGTAATTGACGCGTTTGGTAAATGTGGTTTATAAATACATTTTGTTATTAAAATGACTAAAAAGGGTATTATATTATTGTATCAAATAATAAATTATATTAACTCAATTTTTTACTATAATATTATTAAAATATATTTCGATCATATTACAATATAATTTAATTTTAGAATTAAATACTGGAAGAAAATTTTTGCAGCGAATAGTGATAAAAGTATGAGTTGTTTGAAATATAAAAATAAGGTTATATGATGGACTTTTAAAATTAAATAAAGACCATATGGTAATATACTTCGTTTTCCTAAACATTTTTTTTTTTTTTTTGCCCTATAGCCCAAAAAACTTATAAATAAACAGGTCAGCTTAATTTTAGTACAAACCCAGACAAACACCCTTCTTATTCGAGCAACTTTTCATGACCCCAAATGATGGATGAAAAATGAATTATCCCTAATTACATCAGTCAAGAAATGAAGTTAAAAACCTAATGAGTTTCTCCATCCTTATCTTTTGAATTTAACTATTTTATCCCTGATGAGTTTCTTTTAATTTTTTTAATTCCTTGGCTTTAAAAGTAAAAGAATAACACAAAATTTAGTAAAAAACTTTTGAAATTTGGGAATTAAACCTTAAATAAAATATTGTTATTTATAAGAAGTATTTTTACAGATAAGTATATATTGAAAATATATACTTGTTTAACTTTTTATTTTCAGAAAACTAAAATAATTAAAAATCCTTATATATTCAATTGTTGGCTCCCGTGTAATATATTTTTTTTAATTATTTAGTTTAAAATCCTTTTATATTAAATGATTAATTTAACCTTTGACAAGTCAATTTTAATAGGAAAAATCTAACGGCGTCACAGTCTTGGGACTCTTTTGACGCATTTCTAAAACTATCGAAAACATTTTAACAAACACGTAGATAATTTCCCACAAATTAAGATTTAATAAAACTATAGAGGGCAAAGTGATTTTCTCTCTGTCGCTATATTATACATTCATGTGCCAAATCGTATCAACCTAACATATTTCATAGATGTTAACAAAATCAATACCAAACTTTATCCAACATTTAAACTTAATATGGTATAAATACAAGAGTATGAGTTAATTTATGTTGAAGTTTCAACGAATTGGAGAGCAAGAATATATATAAGGGCGTTATGGTTATTACACTATTTATTATTGGTTGAATATAGAATATTAAAAAAATGAGTAAATAATTTTTCCCACCCAAGGTTTCCCTTAATGACACTTTTCCACCCAAAAAGTTTCAAAATACGACTTTTTCATCCAAAGTTTTTATGCCGTTAATATTTAAAATACACTTTACTTTCTCAACCGACGTTCGACAAATTATCAAGAGCTAAGGTAGGAGGGGTTTTATATAGTAGAGGCTGATTGATCTAGTGGTGGTGACTGATTGAATATTTGCTATTGGAATCAACTGAAAATCATTTAAGAATAAGAAATCCTAACTTTATAGTGGCCAGCAATTGGCGAGAAATTAGGTACTGAAGTGAGAAAAGTTTTGTAGAAAAGAAATCGAAGGATCAAATGATGATGATGAAGAAAATGTTCACTATCAGAATCAACCAGAATCGGCTTTGGATGTTAGTAAAATATAAACTTTAGGTGAAAAAGTGGTATATTGAAATTTTTTGGCTGGTAAGGCAAACCTTGGGTGGGAGGGAATTGTTTACTCTTAAAAAAATATATGTAACTAAACGGAGACGGTAAATAACTTACTAATACCACCAGCGACCCGCCAATTAACCAGTAATATATGTAACTAAACGGAGACAGTGACTGCGAAGCATCAAAACGAAGAAGAAATGGAGAAAAGAGAAGACTTGAATTCGGTTTTACCCTACTTGCCATTGTTGGTTCGATCATCAACTCTGTTTTGGCCATCGAAAGTAGTCGAAGCTCTAAAATCAATGGCGAAAGGACCCGAACACAGCCGTGTGAACTCAGGAGAAGTGCTTTCTGTGGCCATTTGTGACATCAGAAGCTCGCTCTCTCTCTTTGAACCTCTCGCGCCTTTTGCCCTCAATGTTTACGCGCTTTTCTTCGATGACGTAATTCTTTCTCTCCTGAAAAAAGATCAGTATTTTTCATTTGGATTTGTAGTTTGAATTTGAGTGAGTTTTATTATTTTTGTGTTAATGGGTATGCTTTTACTTGATTATTTGGGGTTATAGTTTGGATTTGAGTTGACTTTTATGAACTTTTTGTTGATGGGTTATTTATTTATTTTCTTGGCTGGATGAGAGTTGTGTTGTTGAATTATCAATGTGAAGTGAATTTTATGTTAATGGGTTTGTTTTTTCACTCGAATTTTGTTGGTTTATTGTGGTTAATGTGATGTGAAAATTATGAGTTATGTGTTGATGGTTATGTTTAATAGTTTGAATGTGAAGTGAAATTTGTGAGTTTTGGGTTGATGGGTTTGGTTATGCCATATAATCATGAAGAAGTTGTTGGCTTGGAATCATAATGTATGTCAAAAGCTCTCTTTTGAAGATAATTTGGATAAGCATAAGATATTGGTGAACTGATTAATGAATAGCTAATTACATGAAGACATTATTATATCTGAAGCTAAATAAGGAGGATTTGTGCAGCTTATATCTCGGGCGGAATCAACAAAGTGGTTTGGAGAGGTTGTTCCGGCTCTAGCAAATTTTCTCTTGAAGTTGCTCTCTCTATTAGAAAATCACTATCAAAACGTAGATGATTTTCTTGGAAAGTATGGCATCAAAACAGGTCTCCGCGTATTAGGTCCACAAGAAGCTGGGATAGTGTTGCTCAGCCAGGTATCTTTATATTTGGGCTATCACTTGTTAGGCACACGATTCAGTGCTCTGCCAAAGCTTAAATATATGGGTTTTTTAGGTCTACTAAAAGATACTGTATAAAAGTTGCATAAGTGCTGCAAAACTTGATATTTCTTGTGTCATGTAATCTATTAGATAAGACACTACCCTTATCATCTTAAAAATTGTTTCTTGGCCTTTTCCACTGGTTTCATTATTTATTCTTCTTCGCTTTCGGTTGTTTTTCTAATATGGTGCAATCATTGATAGTCTAAATGTTGCCTTTCGGGAATTGATTGGTGCTCTTCTTGCATGCTCTTTCTTTTGTTTGTTCCTAGTCACTAATAGAGGTGCAAACCATCTTCCTACCATCAACTTTGATGAATTGTTTGCGTATGTAACCTTAAGCTTTTTTTAATTTTTTTTTATAGTGGACTGTTTGAACTATACCATGCATCTGTATTAGAAATATCATATTGAAATATGGATATTCCAATATGTGTAATATTTAGGCTTGTGGATATTGCATAGTGTGGTGGATAGAATGTCTTGCACCAATTGCTAAGATTTGAAAGTAATTACAATTTGGGTAAAGATTATTATCATTTGTTGTAGAAAACAAACATTAGGAATTTCTTTGTTCACTCGATTGTTTTAAAGTCTCACTATGAGCAGGTGTTATTTTTTTAACACAAAGTTTTACTTCATGAGTTAGCTATTTCGCTGTATGGTTGATTTGATTTTCATGGGTTCGGATGTATCCCATGAAATCAATTTATTTCTTCTTCAGTTTGGTTTATTTTGTTTGAAACTCTTGTAAATGTCTACTTTTGACAACTTTATTTTTTAATTCTCGAAGCTAGTAAATGAATAGTGTAAACGTTTCATTTTTTTCAGGAGTCTATATGAAAGTAATAGTGAAAATCAGGAAAATAAAATAAAGTGCATTGTACATTATTTTGAAAGGATATCCTCATGTATGCCTGTTGGCTCTGTCTCATTTGAGCGGAAGGTTCTTCCTTTAGACCATCATCCTTTATTCATCTCTTATCCTTATGCTGACGCTTGGAGCAAATCCGTCATTCCTCTCTGCCCTTTTGAGGTAATTCAAGATACTTCTATAATCTATTTTGTTCAATTTTATTTGTTTAGTTTCACACTTTTTAGCTGTTGATAAGGCAATTTTATGCTTTGTAGGCTTACAGTTTAGGCTCAATAGAAGATCACTCCACCGACACTCTTCAAGTGGATTTTGCAAACAGGTATATTGGAGGTGGTGCACTTCATAGGGGCTGTGCACAGGTAAAATTTTCTTGTTAAATATTAAGATTGTAGATTCCTTCATGGTTCGTGCTTAATTAGGTTTTTTTTTTTATCACCTATATTTCAATTTATTTTCCAAGAATTTATTCTTTGGCATGCATGCCTTCTCTTTTAAGTTGCTTTCCTGCAATATATAACTTCTCATGTGTCACACAAGCAATTGTCTTCTTTCATCCAACTCAATTGTAAAATCTATGATTTCTTGGTATATTTATTATCATTACGATCTTACGTAGGAAGAGATCCGTTTCAGATCAATCCAGAATTAATTGCTGGGATGCTTTTCTTTCCTTCCATGGCTGACAATGAGGCTATAGAAATTGTTGGTGAAGAAAGATTCTCAGACTATAATGGGTAAGTCTTACACATTGAACTTGTAAATCCAAGATTTGATTCAATGGAGATACAGACACATAATAGGATGCTTTACTGACTTTATATGTTTCTTATATATACTTAGATAAATAAGAGATGTTGAAAATGAAGTTTTTGGTTCTTGCTGAAGGACACGATTTTGCTGGGTGAAGTTTTAGGACTATAAACTGTATTATCATAGTTCCAACTATGTGTGCAATGTTAGAATTAATTTTTTTCTAAAATTAAATGCTTTTTTGAAACAAAAATAACGCTTTGCCAAAAAAGTACAATTTTTTAATTCTTCTCGTACATTTATGACTATTCTACATAAATGTAGAACCTAAGTAGTTTAGAAATCCTTTATATTGCAACAAGTCTTAGTTTGGGAATTATCAATAAATTAATATTATAAAACTTGAATATCAAGATATTATCCTGACATGTTATGTCTTCGTGTATTAGGTTAAGCGTTTTATTTGATTCTCATCGTTCATTATTATACATAAATGACTTAAATCTTTTATATCCCTAAAAGTTGGCAATATCAAGCATATGTACAAGAATTATTTTTAATTGACTTGTGTTGTAGTTGATTATGTGATAATTGTATCATCTTTACATGGTGTAGGTATGCCTCGTCATTTTGTTTTTCTGGTGATCATGTGGATAAAAGGAATGTTGATGTTTTAAGTAGACGTAAAACGAGGATAATTGCTATAGATGCATTATGCTGGCCCGGAACGAAACAATATGCGCTAAAATACCTCCTTCGGTATGTACATTTTTGTTTTGAACACCTCAAATACACAAGACAAATTAATTAAGAATACGTGTCAGTTCCATTAGAAACCTCAAATTGTTCAGAATATTCATCCAAGTTACTGATTTGTTGAGTGATGTTGCTCTCAAATCGCATCTTGCATACTTCATCCAGTTCAAAGAACTTTCCCTTTTTCTTATGGATTTATGAAGTTTGTTCCTATATCTAGACACGAGACAAAAGTTAAAAGGGGTTATGCCATCTCATTCCTTAAAATCTGCAGATTTTCTTCTTTCTTTTTTTTCCTTTGTTATTCAAATATTATATGTACTTCAACTTGCTTCTTTTGATAGGGAGACAAATAAGGCTCTTTGTGGGTTTATTGATCAATCTAAATTTGGTGGATATGAGAGACTTTTTCCAGACATGGGACCTCATGAAGCCAAGGATAAAGACAACATATCGAGGAATAATTTTTCGGTGTGAGTTTGTAGTTACTTTGTCTACTGATTTGCTTTCTTAATTTAAAATCTTCTCAGCATGTCAATTGGATGTTGGCAGCCATGTTGGACTAGCTTTTCTAATTTGATGCACTGTTACTTGAAGTTCTGTAAATGTAGAATAAATTGATCTTGCTTCTGTACAGTAAATCAAAGACTAAATTTTTTAATTGTTTTCTTAATTTAAATTTTGATAGTTACATGAAGCTTCCTCAACTGGTTTTGAAACAAATGAAGGAATATCTGTAAATCTGATGCTCAGAAATTCCGACCAGAAGAGTTGTCAGTTTCTGAGACATAAGGAATCTCCAGGGATTGTGACTGGGAATTGGGGATGTGGGTCTTTTGGGGGAGATCCTGAGCTGAAGGCCATAATTCAGTGGCTTGCTGCTTCACAGGTAATAATTCTTTATCAGAATACTGTAAAGGCACGTTTTATATATGTACTGTATATTTTTTGGGTGCGTGTTTCTCCTAGCTCATTTCTTGTTTTTGTTTGGCATTGATATATAAAAAAAAATTAATAATTTTCTTTCAGGCATTAAGACCTTTTATTTCGTACTATACATGTGGCATGAAGGCATTATACAACCAGGGCCAGGTATTTATTTTGCTCTTGTTATTGCAATTTCTTCGTCATTTATCATTTTTACACCATCATCTTGCCAACGTTTCTAAAATTTTTGCTGCAATGTAAATTCAAGTGCGTATATGTTATATACCATCATTTCATGTGGCCCATTACATTCTTCTCTCAGTGCAGGATCTTAATTTGCTAAATATATATAAACGATGAGAATCCGTTTGACATTGGAATACAGGTGACACAGTGGATTCTTACACATGAATGGACAGTTGGGGACCTCTGGAATATGATGGTAGAATACTCATCGCAAAGATTGAAGGGAGAAATGAATCTTGGATTCTTTGCTTGGCTTCTTCCGTCATTAACTTGCCATTAATCCAAGATATTTGACTTGCCATATACGCGTTAACTTAATTTTTATGATCATTAGTTGAATTAGATTTACACCATTTTGCTTTTCTGTATATAATATTGTTCTTTGAGTTGTATGTTCTGATGAAAAATGAAATTTGTTGTTGTCAATAGGTCTAACTGGGGTTATTTTGTAAAAGTTCAATGCTCTGCTATTCTGTACCTTTCTTATTCTTGTTTGTAAAGGGAGGGTTCTGAATAGCTGAAAGAGTGTACGAATGCAGGACATAGTTTTTCCATATTGGACAATCTGAATTGACCTCTGACGAGCTCTGAAGGAACTTACAAGTTACTTGGTGTATTTTAAAATCAAATGAATGATATTGGATTTACAAACTTACACAAAGTAAATGGATGAATTTGTATGCAAAATCAACTTAACAAATGCTAATTTACACAAAGTAACAAATGAAGAATTTGATAAATGATGTGAGAAACTGAGAATAAAAAAATTGTGTCACATTAATTTGTATATATAACATTATTTCATGAAGATGTAGCACTATCTCATAAATTAAGATGCATTCAACTTGGTTTTATAAATTGATTTTTTAAGAAATCGTCTAATCTTTTATAAAACCTCTTAGCGAATAAGTTTGGAATTCAGTTTAAAAGGCTAAAGTTTCTCCTACAAAATAATCTTTAAACATTTTTTTTTTTTATTAACATCTGATAAAAAAATCCAATCACAACAGTTTCTGCATCTCTAATCACTCCAAAAGTGACTAAAATGATCAATTATCTTGGCGGGTCGGGTTCAGATACTTATTTGGTATTAAATGCTTGAATGGACTCACTAACCTTATCCAAAAACAGAGCGGCTTAGCTCTGGGTTTAGTGAGGTTTTCTGCAGCTAAAGAAGAAGAAGAAGAAGACGAAGAAGAAGAAGAGGGTGGTGAGTCATTTCTCTTCTCTTCTCTTCTCATCTCATTTTAGTTGTTTTCTTTAGTTTTTCTCAGTTGATTTTTTCTTGTAATTATTTGGAACCAATCAACAGAGCATAAGAGTTTTATACTGTTGAGTGTCAGAGCATAAGAGTTGTTGAACCCATGTTTGATGAGCATAAACTTGCTAACTAAACATGGGTTCTACAACTTTATTTCTTTGATGGGTTTCTTGTTTTCTCTTTAGGGCAACCATGGTTTAAGCTTGAAATTAATCCCCATTTCTCAGATGCTTTAGATTTCCATTAGTCTTATATGAAAATGTTTACGATTCTTTGATTCAGTATTGAGTTGTAGATATGGGAATATATTGTTATTGGGTTCTATTTTGATAGGTTTCTTTTTTTCACTTTAGTGGCAACCGTAATTGAACCTTGAATCAACCCCCATTTCTCGAATGATAGGTTATATATCTGTATTTGATTTTTGATAGGTTTTTGCTTAAAAATAAATTATATATATTTATTGTTCTTCGATTTTTTTTTTTTTTGAAAATATTTTGTTCCTAGCTTATATATGTGTATTTGATGTTTGATAGTTTTATTTTGTAATCAACAGGACAGTGTAGAGAAATGGTGCTACAACATACAACGAGTTTCAAGTGTTCATATCCACCTTTAATGGAAAATAGATTCAAAACTTCTCCTTGATTTGCTGGTAAGATTCGATGCCAAAGTGACACTCAGGTTTCTTCCCCAAAGATGGAGTGTACTGGTCTCATATCAAGCTCTGTTAAATTGCCTCTAAGGGTGTGTTGTTTTTCACCAATTCATGTTGAGCATCCCCTATTTTTTAAGTTTTTCATAAATTTTGTCTGTATATAAGTGTGAATATATGTTTATATTTATGTACATTGTTGTGGAATTTAATCATCTGAAAATGGCAGACAGGTAGTTTCAGAAGAAGTACAGCAGTAAGATCTTTGGTAGAAAAACTTGGAAGGAAAGGAGGAGGAGAATCAAGTGATGCAGATGATGATGATGATTCCTTGATGAAAAATAATGTGGATGACGGCCCATTTATGGATCCTGAAGAGAGAGTTGAATGGAGGAGAAAGATCAGAGAAGTGATTGATCGGTGTCTTGCTGTTAAGGAGGAGATAGACCCTATTGAAAGGAAGAAGAAGTTGGAGAAGCTGCTGGCTGATGACCCCCTTGTGGTGGAAGAGGATGATCCTGATTGGCCCTGAAGGTGCTGATGGATGGGGTTTCAGTCTTGGTCAATAGTTCGACATGATTACTATCAAGAATGTGAAGAAGGATGATGATGATGATGAGAATTATGATAGTGAGAATGAAATAGTATGGCAAGATGACAATTATATCTGCCCAATCAAAGATATCAAGACTGCAGAATGGGAAGAGACTGTGTTCAAAGACATTAGTCCTTTAATTGTTCTTGTACATAATCGGTATAAAAGATTAGTGCTTATTTTTTTTTATTTTTTTTTTTTTAGAACTCATTTAAGTTACGGAGACACTGGACCATGAGGTAATTGCCCTAAGGGCTCAGCCTGGTGGTTTACGAGCCTTTTTTTTTTGGCATCTCACCTGAGTTCGATCTTTGGGGGTAGGGTAGGGGGATCAGAAATTAGATTTGGGCTATGACCCATCCCCTATTCTCAAAAAAGAAAAATATAGACCATGAGGTAATTTGATGCTCATAGTTGTACAAATTTGTTTAATTCTTGCATCTCTGCTTTGCTCATGGTTTCTGTTATGTTCTCATTCTGAAATTGATTTGATTCTCTTCAGACCAAAGGAAAACGAAAAAATTCGGGACGAAATAGAGAAAGCTGTGCTCATCATCTGGAATTGTCGGCTACCTTTTCCAAGAGTGAGCAATAGCAAAACTGCTTCTAATTCTTATTTCTCTTCATTAGTTTGTGTTTTCTTATGTAACATTGTTATATCAAACAGTGTGTTGCAGTTGATGCTAATGTCGAGCATTAGTTGGGTTCTGCTCTACAGGTGTCATCTTCCTGGAGGGTATATTCACTAAAGCTGGAAAGATCTTCTACAGAGAAAGAGGTTAATTTCCTTTTTAAAGAAGTCTCTAGTTTTTTCTAGGTCGTTATAATACTAATTGTGATCTAAACTTTTATTTTACTGGTTGTTCAGCAATCCGAACTTCAGATGAGTTATCTAAAATGATGGCTTTCTTTTACTATGGAGCTGCAAAGCCAGCTTATTTGAATGGTGTTGAAAGTAGCCAAGAAATGATCCCATCTAATCATTAACAATCCAACAAAACTAAAACTATAAGAACTGTTTACGATGAGATTCATACGAAAATACATTTTTATGAAAACTAGATGAGCACTAATTAATTGTGATGTATAGCGTATGCCTAATTTATTGTATTCCAATCGGATAGTTAAAATATACAGTTTTGAGCTCAATTGTTCTTGGGGTATTGACTTGTTCATGATATTACCATGCTTTTAGTACTATTAATTACTGGTTAGGGGAAAAATTATCAGCTCAAATGTAAGACAGCATCATATTAGATCAAAGGCAATCATCATATTCGCTGTTTTTCTAACTCTATTATGATTATCACAACATTTCCAGCTTCAAACTTGATGAAATCAGCGTGAGTGTATCAATTGCCTTATCATTTCTGGGTGAGTGAAGGCTATACCAACTTTCGTGTCTAAATCTTACTGGTTCAACACGTCATCTGATGTCTAAATCTTAGTTTAGATCATAAAGTATGCAGTCTTTTGATGAAATCAGCTCAAATGACTGCATACTTTGTTTAGAAAATAGGATTTGCATGGGATATATGAGGTGTGAAAAATAAGACAATCACACACGCATGAAAGAACACTAAATTTATGTGGTTTGGCAAAATCATGCATACATCCACGAGATGAGTCAAATGACTGAACTGGAGAATAATAGTACAGGTTTAATATGCTCAGTGAAAACCTGAACCCGAACTGAAACCTTTATACACTCTTCTCTCACTTTCTTTATTACTCCCACTTTATGCACATAAACGCCAAAAAGTGAAGTTCTCATTCGTAGCCTTTGACTTTTGTTATTTAACAAGACCTCGCAACCACAATACTTACTCTTCAATTAGACAATTTTTGTAACAACACCATTCAACAGCCTATCATAAACGAAGAAGCAATGGTGAAAATATTAATTTGCTTTCGATGAAGAAACTGTGCCAATTCCTGTGCCTACACTGATGCCTTGCCATTGCAATTTCTAGGCTTCACATTCCTCTTATCATCACAACAAATTCATGGTGCCATAGCCACACGATGAGACCCCAAGTTTTTTGAAGCAATGATCTAGTGGTTTCTGGCCTTTAACCTCTTCAGAATTTGTCCAAATGTCTAGCCTTGTTGGTGTTGATGAACTTAAGTTTCCAATCCTGTTACTACATGACCTGCAAAACAAAGAAAAAGAAAATGAGATTGACACAGCTGAAACAAAAAAAATGTGACACAGTTAATACAAGAGGTTCAATTACAACTTGCAAATTTCTGGAGTAAAGACTAGAAGTTATTGGGTAAGTCATGCTTTCTAGTGTCATCAAATTTCTTAAGGAGATTTCTTGCCATGTATCCTGTTAAAGGGATATGGACTATTTTGGACCACTCTTCCCTTTTCTTTCTTTCTCCAAACTGTTAAAACTCTCCAATTTCGGCATTCACCAAAGAATTTGTCTATTAGAAGATATTTGTGGAGTAAGATAACAATTGACTAACAAATTATACGTAATATGAGAATTTTACATTAATTTAAGCAAAAAGAGAAAAAAGAGTGAAAAACTTTTTTAGATACCATAACGAAATAAGTAATTTTGATTCAAAATGGTGTTATTGATTTTGAAATTGAACTACTATTACATTTTAGAATATTTAGTTTGAAAATGTAGTTTTAATAATATGATAATGAAAAAAGGTCTTAAATTCATTAGTCACTAATACTAACAACTTCTTTCTTTCTGGTTTAAAGATGTCTGGCATTTCAACACACAACCAAGTATAAGTTAGTGATATACTAGATCTTGAGGTAATTTTAATGGTCATAGTTCTACAATTTGTTTAATTCTTGCATTTCTACTGTGCTCATGGTTTCTATTATGTTCTAATTTGGAGATTGATTTGATACTCTACAGACAAAACGAAAAAGAGAAAGTTTTGGACAAAATGTAAATGGCTGTGCACATTATCTCTAATGTAACATTATTACATCAAACAGTGAGTTGCAGTGGATGCATCAAGCATGAGTTGGTCTCTGCTCTACAAGTGCCCATCTTGCCGGAGGTTATATTCAATAAAGCTGGAATGATCTGATACTGAGAAAGAAGTTAATTTCCTCATTAAAGAAGTCTCTAGATTTTTCTGGGTAGTCATATGCTAATAATGATCTAAACTTCTATTTTACTGGTTGTTCAGTAGTTCGATCTGTATATGAGTTGTGAAAAAATGATGGCTTTCTTTCACTACAGAGCTGCCAAGCCAACCTGTTTGAATGGTGTTGAAAGAGCCAAGAAATGATCCCATCTGTTATCATCAACAATCCAATAGAACTGAAAGTAATAATTGTATAGCATATGCCTAATTTATTATATGTCAATTGGACAGTTAAGATATGTGGTTTTAGCTTAGCTCAATCATTCATTCTTGGGATGTTGAGTTTATAGTTATATTAATTACTGGTTAGGGGGAAAACTATCAGCTAAAATGTAAGACATTAAGTATCGTATTCACAGAGTTGATGATCTTAAAAGGCTAAATCTCTTCTTATGCTTATCTCTGTGTTCCTTCCACCCTCCTCTAATATATATATATAAAGAGGGTAATAAGACAATCACACACACATAAGAATACCAAATTTATGTGGTTCGGCAAAATAATGCCTACATCCACGGGATACGAGTCAAATGATTGAATTGGAGAATAATAATACAAATCTAATACACTCACATTAAACACAAACCCAAACCCGAGCCCAAACCCTCGTCCACCCATCTCTTACTTTCTTTGTACACTCCCACTTTATGCACACAAATCCCAAAAAGTGAAGTCCTCATAACTCACAATACTCACTCTTCACCTATACCATATTGTAACATCAATCACCAACCCATATATAATCGAGGAAGTAGCAATGGTGGAAACATTAATTTGCTTTGGATGAAGAAACTGTACTCTCAACTCCTTTCCCTACAATGCTCCCCCGCCACTGCATTCTTCAAGCTTTACATTCCTCTTATCATCTCAATAAGCTCATGGTTCCATGGCGACACGATGAAGTCCCAAGTTTGTGAAACAATGATCTAGTGGTTTATGGCTTTAACCCTCTTTAGATTTCTCCAAATCTCTAGCCACGTTGGTGTTAGTGAACTTAATTTTCCAACCCTACAGCTAGATCACCTGCAAAACAAAGAAAAATAAAATATGAAATTGACACAGTTGTAAAAATACGTGAAACAATTGATACAAGAGTACAATTACAACTGACAAATTTCTGCAGTGATGTAATGTTTTTCAATCTCATCCATTTGCTTCAAGAGATTTCTTGCCCTGTCTTCCCTTTTCTTTCTTTCTACAAGTTTTTGATTAACAAGGGACAAATATCAATATTTGTGTTGCAACTAGGCAAACCAATAGCAAATAACACAACTTTAAGAGCATTTCTATTAAGAATTACTTAAGGGATGTGAGAACTTTTTGTTGATTTGGTAATGGCCTTGAACTTATCAGATCCAGCAAGCCTTCTCTTTCAAAATTTATAAGCAGAGCACCTCCTGATCTCTAAAGTTCAAGAAATAAGTTTTAGAGATTTTTACTTTCTTTGATCCTACAAAAAAGACATGAGCTTGTCATTGTTTCAAAGATCTCAAAATGTACAAGAATTTTTATCCAAGTTGGAAATGTCTTACCACCATAGAAACTGATTGATCACAAGCTACTGCAGAAATGACATAAGCTAGACATCACACCATTGAAGTTGTGTTGATTTCATCTCGAAATTCTTAGGATTCACCTTGAATATTAACAAACACAAATTAAGAAGACATGCTTTCCTAGAATAAAAGGACAATGATGGTGGGAAAATGTAAGAATAAGACTACATCAGAGGATTAAGAAAGAATATCTCACTTGCTTGCGTTAGATGAACATTGATTGGTTGTTCGACTTTAGCAGGACATATAAAGGTCTATTACTTGTTTTCTTCTCATCAGTTGGTGGACCCCATATGAAAATCCAAGAGTAAGGTACAAAATGTGCAATTAGTGTGCGAAACAGAAATGATTTGTGATCTTGTTAAAAGTTTAGATATATAAAAATAGTGTTGAATATGCTTGCATGAAGATGGGGAAGGAAAATTTTAAGCCCTCCAATGATTCCTACAATATTAATCTAAGTGTATGGATCCCGCATAGAATTGTTTGCACAGAGAAAGTAAACAATTATTCCTTCAATAAGCTAAAAAAAATCCAGATGCATTTCACAACATCTCTTCGCCCAAAACAAAAACAATGAGACAACAATAAACTATACACAGAATTAGAAATGCACCTTAATTAACAGTCGCAACAATTAGAAGCTCCAAACTCTATATTGTAATTTCAGTAAGGAATCCAAAGCTCCAAACCTGAAGCCAGGAGTCAGGTTTTAAAAGTGCAAGTAGACATGCCAGTTTATTGTCCAAAATGGCATACCCTACTTCTGAAACTAGAGCAATTGTTCACTTGCTTCTTGCTGGAGGAAAAAAGTTGATAAAAATACTAAACTAAGTTTCATGTATTAAGTGTTAAATTCAACCAGAAATGAGATTGACATGAAACATACAAGTACCTTAAGAACCTCCAATCTGAGAATCTTGTTGACAATTGCCTCTAAATCTTCCTACCCTAAATTGTAGAAGCATAAAAATATAAGCCAAAATTGTCTAATCTGNGGCAAAATATATAAGCACAACACCTCATGATCTCCAAAGTTCAAGAAATGAGATTTTTGAGATTTTTACTCTCTCTGATCCTGTAGAAAAGACATGAGCTTGTCATCGTTTCAAAGATGTCAAAATGCATAAGAATCTCTTATCAAGCTGGAAATGTCTTACCCCCATAGAAACTAATTGATTACAAGCTACTGCAGAAATGACATTAGCTGGACAATTTATTCAAGTTTTTCATCCAAGGTGACACATCAATCCGTTGAAGTTGCGTTGATTTCATCTCAACATTCTTTGGATTCACCTTGAATATTAACAAATACAAATTAAGAAAACATTCTTTCCTAGAATAGAAGGGCAATGATGGTGGGAAAATGTAAGAATAAGACTACATAAGAGGATCAAGATAGAATATCTCATGTGCTTGTGTTAGATGAACATGGACTGGTTGTTTTGCTTTAGCAGGATATATAGAAGTCTATTACTTGGTTTTTACTCATCATTTGGTGGACTCCATATGCAAATCCAAGAGTAAAGTACAAAATGTGCAATTAGATGTACGGAACAGAAATGATTTGTGATCTTGTTAAAAGTTTAGATATATAAAAACAATGTCAAATATGCTTCCATGAAGTTGGGGAAGGATAAATTTAAGCTCTCAAATGATTCCTGCAATGTTAATCTAAGTGTAGGGATCCTGAATAGAGTTGTTTGCACAGCAAAAGTAAACAATGATTCCTTCTATAAGCTATAAAAAATCCAGATGCATTTCGTAACATCTCTTTGTCCAAAACAAAAACAATGAGACAACAATAAAGAAACCATACACAGAAGCATAAAAATGCACCTTGATTAACAGTTGCAACTACTAGAAGCTCTTAACTCTGTATTGTAATTTCAGCAAGGAATCCAAAGCTCCCAACCTGAAGATAGGAGTTAGGTTCTAAAAGTGCAAGTAGACATGCCAGTTATTAAAGTTTAGATTTGGAAATATTAGACATGCCAGGAGTTAGGTTCTAACAGTTGCTTACGTGAACATGGAGACAGCGACACCTGAAGAAAAATGAATCTGAAGGAAAATTTTCATGCCGATGCAATAGTAGAACCCAGATCTAGAAAAACATAGTAGCAAGGATCTTTAGCAGATGTTTTTATGAAAAATTGTACATAATGCTTACTTTTGATTACCTTTGACCCACAAGAGTTGAGAAAATCTATAAGATGACAAAGTAGTGAAGTTTTGGAACAGAGGAACCACTTTCAATTTGCAAGTATTTTGCTATCAAAATGCCATACTCTACTTTTGAAAGTAAAAATAAGTTGGCAAAGTTCAAACTTGAGGCAAAGGAGTTATTCTCAAAACAACAAAGAGTAGAATTAAAAATCGTAGAATGGTTCAAATGTTAGAAGTTGACAGACTAGAAATTAAAAAATGAAACAAGAATATGAATGATTTACTTGTATTAAGAATTCCAGAATTTTTTTTTTTTCAGTTACCTTTCACAAACAAAGAGTACCCAAATGCAGAATTGTATACACTATAGAGATTACTTAGTCTTTTGGAAAAATTGCACAATACGCGAAACATCTTTTTAAATGCAAAGGGAGATAGAGATAACTTAGCTTTAATGCAAGGAGAACATCTTTTTCTTTTAACGAATTCCATATTTCGCTATCTAATATTCTTTCCCAAGTATTAATCAACTTAGAGTGTAGAAGACCACCGAGGGTCTTTGCTACTAGAGGTAGACCACTACACCTTTTAACGACTTTCTCATAAGTTGAATCGGTAATTACATCAGCATCAGTAGCTATACCAGTTGCAAGTGCATGCTTCGGAAACAAGTGTTGGAGTTGTTGACTACTTCAGCATTAATGGGTTACCCACATGCATTCGAAGGTACTCGGGCTCGTAGGCGATTTGGGCATTTTCCATGTATAACCGTTGTAGGATTCTTTGAAGTTATTAATTCCTTTTTGGGTTGGGCTTAAGAATAAGAATCCTTGTAAAACTAGATTTTGTCACTTAAACCTAGTATATAAATATATTTTCTATTGTTATGAGTATAATAGCAAATCATAGGACAATTTATTTATTGTAAACGATGGAGGGGTGAGGAAATATTGTAATAATATTGACTCAACTGGACGTAGCTCATATTAGGTGAACCAGGGTAAATTACGTGTGGTATTTTCTCTGTGTTTATTATTTGTGATTTGCTTTATTGTTGTTTTGTTCTCGCTACTGTCTCTATTTCGTTCAACAAGGACCAACAAGCTTCATCAGATAAACTCTCTAAAGGATAAGTATCAGAATCAGGGCATCTTATTGTTTGAGCGACATATCTATAGCGTGTTGTGACGATCATCGTGCTTCCAGGTGCACCAGCCTTGAAGGGAGACATAAGCTGTTCCCATTTACTATAGTCTACCTCCCAAACATCGTCTAATACTATCAAGAATTTTTTCCCATTTACTGCCTTCTGCGGTTCAACTTGCACTCCATTTAAATCAATTGGAATGAAGAACGGGGAGCCTTTTAATGACCCAATGAGACTTTTTGAGATAGTGAGAACATCAAAATCATCCGAAACACAGACCCATGCTTTTTCCTCAATCTTGAAACCTTCCAATTCCTTGTGATTGTACACCACTTGAGCCATTGTCATTTTGCCAATCCCTCCCATGCCGACAATGGCTATCACTCGAAAGTAAGCATCAGTGGTTGATCGCTTCTGATCACCATATCAAGTAGTTTGGCTTCATCTTTATCTCCTCCATAAACAACTTTTTTAGGTGGGACGCTTGAACTTTCCTTTGGTCTTAGCAGTACTGCAGCATTACTTGATGACCCTTCAGAAAGCTCTTGCAATCCACGTTCATCTGATCTTTCCAGCCGAAGTTGTTCCAAGCGGCTAGTGATGTCTTTGATCTCAGACCCCATGCGGACATTGAACTTGGGGCTGGGAGGCAGCTCAATCCCTTGCAACTGCTCGGCTAGTGTTCTGCCTTGTTTGCGTCGCACAGCTTCGTAGGCAAACTCATCCAGTATATCTTCCGTATCATAAGCCAAGTCTTGATTATTTTCAAGCCACTCTTTAACGCTTTCATCTGTCAGTTGCTTGTCTTCCGTATTGCGAAGAAGATTTCCCATCTTCCTCAACTTATTTTCCAGATTTTTTAGGTCTGAATCTACCCCTCCAAAAAGTTGCCGGGCAAAGTCCCGCACCTCATTGGACCCCAAAATCTTAATCAACCCGTTAAAGAGTTCAGAGATCACAGGCTCAACAAGAAATTCCATGATTTCGGTTGTTGGAACAAGATGAGAAAGCATGTGAATTCCAGCTGTAAATCAATTCCTTTAGAATTGAATGGACATGATGCATTACTTTACTTCTGCATTTTTCATCCTTAATCATTCTTCAGGATTTGCTTTACTTTACTTAATTGGGTCCTTGAATCATATTCTTTTTTGGGAATGCTTTAATTTTCTTTGTTCTTTAAGAGTTATTTACATCTCGTGCCTTTAAAAAAGACACAGAATGTAACAGGGGAGGCTAATGAATTCCTCTGCTCCTTTCTGCACTCTAAATTACGACATCTCCGACAGCAAATGTTGGAATTACAGGTAGCTGAGGTTAATACTTGAAAACAAGACTTGTTTAAGCTTGTATCTTTGTTCTTCAATAAGAGCTCAAAATTTGATTGTTGTCGAGTGTACTACTTTGCTGTATAACTTTAATTTTGAGATGATTTACAGCAGTCACATACTCATTAAATTTATGAAATAATATAAAATATGCCAACCTGTATAACTATTATTCATGAATGTGGATGATTTCAACCACTAAGCATCATGAATGTGAAGCATTCAACCGGCTTAAGATCAGTTGATCTTGTTGTTGCCATGTGGTGTAAGCATGGTCTACTTTTGTAGTTGCTGTTCGCTCTGAATCAAGAGTGAACTTGGCAGGGAAAGGATTTGTTCCATCAACAAACCCAATCAGATTCTGACTTCTAAGAACAGGTAAGAATTGCGCCCGCCAAAGAATATAATTTGTGCGATCAAGTTTAATAAAGAAAAACATGAGATAGGTTGGGTACCGAGACACCAACGGATGGTGAACCAGATTGCATATTTGAAAAGGATAAAAAAATGCCAATAAAGTCGTTAGACGATGGCTCTGATACGATAAAAGATACAGAGAAGATAGAATAGAATTTTGAATCCAAAACCTTGAATCTTAGAGGTTCTGGTAAGTTCTTTATATGTATGTTTACAAGTGCATGACTGAAGGGATTGTAATCCCATAATCAAGTGTGAATATATGTTCATATTTATGTACATTGAGTGGAATTTAATTATCTAAAAGGGCAGGGAGGTAGTTTCAGAAGAAGTACGGCAGTAAGATCTTTGGTAGAAAAACTTGGAAGGAAAGGAGGAGGAGGAGAATAAGTGACGCAGATGATGATGATGATGATAATGATTTCTCCAAAACCGTACCACAGCAAAGCGGAGCCCCTCGCTTCTAGTCAACGATCCAGTCAATTGTCTCACGGCTGCCGTTTCAACAACCGAGAAACAGTCGTTCCTCTCAAAAGCTACCTGGGTTCCAATTGCAAAGCCTGAAACTCGGTAAAACAAGTCAGTGAAAAAAGCCTTGACCCAGAAAGTCAAAAGGAGAAGAAAATGAAGAGAAGTGAAACCTGGGAGGGAAGGAGAGTGTGGAAAGAGGATTGAAGAGGATTTTGAGGAAAACAAGGTATTGAGGAGATGCAGCCAAAGAGGGAGAGTGGTGGATTGGAGCCTTGAGATCCAAAGCCAATTTTGTTGAAGTTTGGGTGGCAGAGAGTGACTGAGTTTGACAAAGTTTTGGTTTTTGAGCGAAAATTGAATTGAAATTTCTAGGCGAAATACAAAAGGAAATTAGTAGGGTTTAAGTTTAGGCTTAGATTAGGGACATTTTAAAATTAGAGCCCGTCGTACAGTCTCAAGCAGGCTCAGGCCGGGGCTCATTTGGGACCAGTCGCTCACGGGGTCTGACAATTTTAGGACCTAAATCGGTTTTATACGTCTAAAAAATTTCTTTTTCCCCTATGATCTTTTTTTATATTTTAGGGGCGAAAAAAAATTTTGTAAGGTATTTTAAGTATTTTTTAGGGTAAATTAATAAATTTTTCAGACTTTGAAATTTTTTTTTTTTTTAAATTTTGTAAAATTTCCTTTTAACCTCTATAATTTATGTTTATTTTAAAATTTATAAAGGGTTTTATGTAATTATACAATGGACTAAAATAAAAATATTTAAAAAAAATTTGGCCTAAGCCCGAGCCTTGGAGGAGGGCCCAGTGGAGGGATCGGTCCCTCCTCCAATGGGACCAGACCTCCTAGAATCGGGTTTTTGGGCTAAGTTTTTGGATCCAGTCTCAAATACCCACCTCTATTTGAAATGAATAAAATTTAAGGGGGTTCACTAGTCTTTTCAATTTCTTAAATTATAGATAGAGCCCTTTGCTAGTTCTATATATTTTGAATAATCAATATATTTATTTTATAAAGTATTATACTGAAAATTATTAAAAAATAAAAAAATATTAAAATAATAAAGACCGTAACTTGCAATCTTGGATTGCAGACCAATGATCTCAGACGACAGATGGTGAACCAGATTGCATATTTGAAAAGGAAAAAAATGCTAATAAAGTCGTTAGACGATAGCTCTGATACCATAAAAGAAACAGAGAAAATAGAATAGAATTTTAAATCCAAAACCTTCAATCTTAGAAGTTTTGGTATATATATATATGTGTGTGTGTGTGTGTGTGTTTACAAGTGCATGGCTGAAGGGATTGTTGCCGAATTTAATTATCTAAAAGGGTTGGTAGGTAGTTTCAGAAGAATTTAATTAAAAATAATGCCAAAAATTTAAAAGAATTTCAAAAATATTTATTTATCAATAAAAAAATAAAAAAATAAACTTTATATATTCTGAATAATTACAAATATATTTACTTTAAGAAACATTATACAGAAAATTATTTAAAAAATATAAAATAAATAATAATTAAGAATTAAAGACTGCAACTTGCAAAATTGGATCGCGGACCAAGATCTCAAACAAGATTGAACCCAGCGATCTCCGATTGTTGGCTGCAGTTTCATTTTTTTAATTTGTTGTTAATTTAAAATCCTTATCTATTAAATGACTAATTTAACCTTTAACTAGTCAATTTTATCGGAAAAATCTAATGATTTCATGGTCTTAGGCCTCTTTTGACGCATTTCTGAAATCTATGGAGGACATTTTAACATAAACTTAGATAGTTTCCCACAAATTTAGATTTAACGAAACTATATATGTGAGTGTGTTTGGCACACTATTTTTCTCTATCCTATTTTACTATCATATCCTAAGAAAATGATATAATTACTTTTCTATTAAACTCAAAATCCAATTTTATTATATTCAACTCAAAACGTTTAACAATTTATCTTTCTCAATAAAAGTTTTAAAATTAACAAAAACACCCCCATCCATCCAAGCCACTATCACCCACTAGCAGTCGTTGTTGCCGCCAGACACCGGTTCCATAACGACACACGACTGGCTAGATCTGGCTGGTCGTGTGCCAATCTATTAGTTAGACAATGTCAGATTGGCACCCAAATCTAGCCAATCGTGCGTTATTCTGACCACAGTCCGATGACGGTGATTAGTTGTCGGTAATAGTTGGGTGGGTGGGAGTGTTTTTATTAATTTGTAAACTTTTATTGTTGGGGTGTTTAGTTAAATTAACAAATGTAAGGGGTTAAAATAATCTAAATATTTTCCAAAACACATTCTCAAAACCCCAACCTATTTCATTAAATAGTATTCTATTATAGAATAGTATTCTAAAAAGTAAAACAAAGGCACACAAAGTGATTTTCTCTCATTTGCTACATTATATATTCATATGTCAAATCATATTAACCTAGCATGTTTCATATATCATAACAAAATCACTATCAAACTTAATCCAACATTTAAACTTGATATCGTAAAAAAACAAGAGTATGAGTTAATTTATGTTGACCCAATTCAACAGATTGGAGGGCAAGAGCACATGTAAGGGGGTTATGGTCATTACACCATTTATTAATGGTTGAATAGAGTATTAAAAAATAGTATGGTCAATTTTCATTAACTCCCATAGTTTTACATAATAACTTTATAATGCAACTCACAAATTACCAGTAAATATAAGTAACTAAGCAGAGAGAGTGAGCGAGGATGTTAGGGTTTTTGATGTGGGGTTGAGGGGATTGTAATGGTGGTGCCGAGGACAGTCTAAAATGGCCTAAAATATCTGGTCGCGCGGTAGAGTGAATTTGAGAAGTGAAAGGTTATTTTGAAATTTTCATTTTTGAAATGACAGTTTTACCATTTTAACTGTTAAATTAAACAATTTTCTATTAATTTAAGGACAAAAATCTAGAATTTATGAAACCAAGGTTGAAAACTTGCCATTTTGCCAAACCCTGGGTGGGAACATGTGGTTTACTCAATAGAATAAGAGCATTTATGGAATTTATAAGGTGTCATAACAAGAAAATTTAATTAGAAAACTTGTAAATAGCGCCCCTGTTTTGGTAGACTCTTTAAAATCATTATTATGCTTTCCATTAAAAAATAGGAAAGCATTTTGTTTACTTACGAACCCAATCCTATATTAAAATCAATCATACTCAAATCAAATTTGTTGCCTAAAAATGAAAACAGCCTTGGAGTTGGACCTGTTTTCTAATCTTCCAATCCTATTCAAGTTAAAACTTTTCTTCTTCTCTCCCTTCATCTTCGATCCTGGCCTTTCCTTATCAACCCTAAATCGTTCTCCTTCCACTCCAAAACATTTCTTCTTCTATCCCATCATTCTCCGATATCTGATGACGACTGCCGAGAAAGGCGATCTTTCTTTCTCTGTTTCGACCTATCTCCCTCTCTTACAACCACCCTACCTTATTTCTTCCATCATTGTTTAGTACATTGATGAGGTTTGGAAGGATAAATCTCCTTTGTTCCCCTCTAATCCTTATGAGCGAGCTCAAGCTAGATCCTGGTTTGTATCATTGACAAAAAGTTAAGCCTGAAGTATTTTTAAGTTTTTTGTTGCTTAATTTGTGATTGATTGAATGAATTTTCTTTGCCCTCAATGAAAGTTTGTAGGAGCAATTTATGCCCTTTTTTTCTTCAGAAATTTATAGAATTTAGTTTATTGAATTCTAAATTTGTGGATTGGCATGATTTTGAATTAACCTAGTTCATGATTTAAATAATGGTGTGAATGCTTGAAATGAATGGAGGTTCATTCTCTCCATTTTTATTGTGTGTTAGCCGAAGCTAATAATTGAATGAAGTCATACAATGTTAAGGCACTACTCTTGGTTTTGCTTGGCCTTGAAATGGATAATGGATGTGTTAAAATGTTTTGGCCGTGAATTTTATGAGAGTTCATGCTTATTTTTCTAGAATATATGGAATTTATTTCAGTGAATTCAAAATTTGTGAATTGGAATGATTTCGAATCAACCCAGTTCATGATTTACATAAATGATGTGATTGCTTGAAATGAATGGAGGTTTCGTTCTCTCCATTTTCATTGTATGTGTTAATCAGAGAAAATAATTAACTAAAGTCATACAATGTCAAGGCACCTCTATTGGTTTTGCTTGATGATACTGGATGTGTTAAAATCTTGCCTATTTCAGAACAAAGAGGCTAACCTAGTAAAGAAAATTGCAGTTATATGATGCAGGGAGGAAGACATGGACCACAACAGGTGAAGTGTGAGAGGTCGCCAAGAAGGAATTCATTGAAGTAATCAAGACCTTGGAAGGGCAGCTCGAAGACAATCCTTATTTCATAAGCGAGACCTTTGGGTGTGTCGACTTATCTTTGATCCCTTTATACTGCTGGTTTCACGCATATAAAACGTATGCCAAGTTCAGTGTTGTAAAACTGAGTCTACTAACCAAGATTTTGATTCTACCTAACCAACCAAACAAAGATCAAACGACAAAATAGAAAAAGAAGAACACTCAATCTTTTTACCATGGTTCACTTGTTCAAGATTGAACAAGCTACGTCCACATTGAGCTCCAGAATATGGAGGCTCGTTGCACTATTATTATTGTCACCAAAGATTACAAAACACCACTCAATCTTCCCTTCAAGCCCTTACTAACAAGAATCACAAAGACTTTACTTCTATACCCGTAAATCTATAATCCTAAGGAGAATTCTAACCCCGATTCTCTGTACCACAAAGAAACACAACTTTGATGGGTGGATCAACCAATGATTTACACAAGAGCAAAGTACTATAAAAAGAACCTTAGTAGAGCAGTTTTGATTGAGCTATTTTGATCGAAAAGAGAGTATTTAGAATGGGGAAAGACTTCAGCTTTTATATTGTTGACCAGTAGTAAGTCTTCAGCTATTAGATTGCTTAGAGATCAATGACCAGAAATGCAAGATGTATTGAAGCTAAAACGACAACATAAAGGCTTCACTCATTAACAATCTCCACCTTGAAGCCTTATTCTTTTTCCAGACAGCAACAAATTTGTGTAGCAAGCTTCTCACATACTGCTTCTCAACTCTATAAGATCAGTTGATGTGCAGTAGGTTCAAGCAATGCTTGAACTTTGCAGGAGTTACCACTTTTGTTCCCATATCAGCTAGGTTCTCTTCAGTTGGTATTTTCAACAGACTCAAATTCCCTTTTGTGATTTGGTCTCGGACAAAATGATACTTCGCATCTACGTGCTTCGTCCTCTCATGATGTACAGGGTTTTTAGTTAGATGAATGGCACTTTGACTGTCATAATACACAATCACAAGTCCATCCATCAAACTTGCTTCTTTCAAGATCTCTTGCAACCATATTGCCTCCTTAAATGCATCAGTCACTACCGCATACTTAGCTTCTGTTGTGGACAGTGCAACCAATGGTTGTAGTTTTGATTTCCAACTGATGCAGTTGCCTCCTAAGGTGAAACAGTAAGCTATAGTGGATTTCCTCGAGTCTCGATCACCTGTAAAATCAGAGTCAACATACCCAACTGATGCATTGTGCTATTAATGTATCTAAACAGCAATTTTAATGCTACCCAATGTTCTATTCTTGGATTTGACATAAACCTACTCAGTAATGATATTGAAAATGAAAGATCAAGTCTTGTGCTTATCATGGAGTACATGACAGATCCTATGGCATTTGAGTAGGGGATGATTTCCATTTTTAGCCTTTTCGCATTAGTTTTGGGGCACTGTAATTTACTCAATGTAAAGTGACCTGCTAAGGGTATGTTAACAGGTTTAGATTTAATCATTCCAAACCTAGAAGTCAGTTTTTGTGGGTATGGTAGTTGGTGAAGTTTCAGCCTATTTAATTTTCTGTTTTTATCAATTATCATCCCCAAAATCCTTTTTGCTGACCCTAAATCTTTCATATGAAACTCAACACTTAGTTTTTCTTTTAGTTCATCTATGTGTGACTTAGATTTGCATATTAATAGCATGTCATCTACATAGAACAACGTATATAGGCATGTTATTTATGCGAGGAAAATAGAAACAATTATCATATTCACTTCTAGTAAACCAACTCCTACTATGAATGAGTCAAATCTCTTGTACCACTACCTAGGGGTATGTTTAAGGCCATACAGGGACTTATGCAATAGACAAACATGTTTAGGCAAATTCCTATCTCTAAACCTAATAGGTTGACTCATAAATATTTGTTCTTCCAATTCACCATGTAAGAATGCTGTTTTGACATCCAATTGTTCCAATTCCAAATCATAATGTGCCACAATTGATAGCATTAGCCTAATAGTCTTAAACTTAACTACAAGTGAGAAGATTTCAATAAACTCAATACTTGCCCTCTGTGTGAAGCCCTTAGCCATAAGTCTGGCTTTGAATCTTGGTGGGTTTGAGCTTGTTATGCCTTCCTTTAGCTTGTAAAGTCATTTACAGCCTACCAGCTTCTAGTTTTGAGCGACCAGATTTTGTTCAACTTTAAAGACTTCATTTCCTCTTTTATGGCTTCCATCCATTTGTCTCTATCTCTAGAGCTGATGGCTTCTTGATAGGTTTCAGGTTCAAACCTTTGTATCTCTGCACTAGCAACCAAGGTTGTGTAGATTAGGTCAGCATAGCTGAACCTATTAGGGGGCCTTATCTCCCTCCTAACTCTGTCTCTTGCTAGCTGGTATTCTGCCAAGTTTTCATTATGGGCTTCATCAATGTTTTCAGGTTGTTTCCCTTCTTTATCTTGGTCTTCATTGTTGGACAGTAAAGGATTTTGTGGTTCAAAAGCTTTCGGTTGTTCAGGATGCTCTGTCAAGCTTGCTAGCTTCACCTCAAACTAAGATCTCTCTATTTGATCAGGCATTTTAGGATCACTTCTTGACTTACCTACATTGTCATTTGAAAGCTTGCAAGGAAACATGATCTCATTAAAGACTACATCTCGACTGATTATTACCCTAACCCCTGGGGCATCCTTTTCCCACAATCTATAGCCTTTGGTCCCTTCTTGATACCCTAAAAAGACACATTTAGGGACCTAGGCTCTAACTTGCCATCTCGAGTGTGTGCACAAGCTGCACACCTAAACACCCTTAGGTAATTAAAGTTTGGTCTCCTTCCTGACCATCTCTATTCTGGACATTTAAAGCCTATCAAACTTGAAGGATTCCTATTGATTAGGTAAGCTACAGTGGTTAGGGCTTCTTCGTAGAAAGTTTTGGACAAACCAACAATAAATAAGAGACATCTAATCTTTTCTATAAGTGTCTTGTTCATCCTCTCTGCAACCCCATTCTGTTGTGGGGTTCCCCTAACAGTCCTATGCCTTAATACCCCCTTTTGCTACAGTACGTATCAAACTCTAGGTTACAGAACTCCAACCTATTAGCAGTCCTAAAGGCCTTGACTTTTCTGTCTAATTGGGTTTCTACCACGATTTTCTAGCCTTTGAACTTAGTCAAAGCTTCATCCTTAGTCTTGAGAAGGTATACCCATACCTTCCTATTGTAATCATCTACAATGGAGAGGAAGTATGTGTTCCCTCCATGTGACTTGACACTTTCAGGGCCCCAAAGGTCAGCATGCACATAATCCAAACACTTTGCAGCAAGATGAGTTCCTTTGCAGAAACTCATCCTATGTTGTTTCCCAAGAACACATGTTTCACAAAAACTTAAATCAAAAATAGAATCATTACCAAAATAACCTTGTTGTTTCAATGTAGTCATGCTATTTTGGCCTATGTGGCCCAATCTTAAATGTCATTTCTTTGCAGTAGATACATTAGTGGACTAGAGAGTAGTATTAAACACATCAGAATAGTACTGACCACATAAGATATAAAGGCCATTCTTTTTAACACCCTTTATCAATACATTTCTATTTTTGTACACTTCTAGGCAGCCATTTTGTGCTTTATAGGAACAACTAGATTCATCTAATGTTCCAAGTGAAATTAGGTTACACTTAAGGTCAGGTATGTATCTAACCCTAGTGAGTCTAACCACCTTACCATCATTAAGCCTAATGGTTATGTCACCTATGCCTTGAACCTCACAAGAATGGTTATTGCCCATGAATACAGTTTCTTGTTCACCAATTTTAAGTCTTTGGAACCAATTTCTGTTTGAACTCATATGGAAGGTACAACCTGAGTTTAGCACCAACTAGGTACTATGCCACTATACTGTAAGGCATTCTTTACAACTAGGTACTCTTCTGGCAAGGAGTTTAATAGAATCATGGCAAGACTAGAGTCTTCTCGTTCTTGGTTAGTACCTTTTAGGGTTAAGGTCATCTTTAGAAATTCATCCAAGTTTTCATCTAAAGATTTAGCAATGTCCATTTTATATGAGAACAATGCACCTTTTAAGAAACCTAAATTAGGTGCTGGCTTGAGAGCATATAAAGATTCGAGTTTACCCAAAGAGCGATTAGAGATTCCAAGCCATCCACCTTTCACAGCACGGTGTTAGACAGGTTCATGATGATCAAATTATAGGCTTCTTTGTCTACCTCTACCTTCTTCTTCAGCTTTTCTTCAGGCCATTTGGTGTCATCCTTCTCCAGAGCAATCCCCACCTTATTGTGGGATAAGAGGGCCTTCATCTTCTTTTTCCAGGTGTTGAAATCAATCTTCCAATCATATTGGGAAATTTCTATGTGCATGATGCTCATGGTTTGGGTTCAGATGCAAACCCTAAAGAATCAAGATTATGATTATAGACTCGACTCACTGAGATTTTTGGAAATTCTTGTTGTATTTGGAACCCTAGGACTCCTGGAGCTACTTAATTGAAAAAGCCCCAAATTTTTTCAAAACCCTAGAAAAGTTTCCAAATCAAGAAAAACCCTAGAATGTACAATTCGAGGAACGATAAACTCAGCTCTCATACCACTGTTGTAAAATCAAGTCTAGCTAACCAAGATTTTGATTCTAGCCAACCAACCAAACAAAGATCAAATAACAAAACAGAAAAAGAAGAACACACAATCTTTTTACCGTGGTTCACTTGTTCAAGATTGAACAAGCTATGTCCACGTTGAGCTCCAGAATATGTAGGCTCGCTACACTATTATTATTGTCACTAAAGATTACAAAACACCACTCAATCTTCCCTTCAAGCCCTTACTAACAAGAATCACAAAGACTTTACTTCTATACCCATAAATCTATAATCCTAAGGAGAATTCTAACCTGATTCTCTACACCACAAAGAAACACAACTTTGATGGGTGGATCAACCACCGATTTACACAAGAGCAAAGTACTATACAAAGAACCCTAGCAGAGTATTTTTGATTGAGCTATTTTGATCAAAAAGAGAGTATTCAAAATGGGGAAAGACTTCAACATTTATATGGTTGACCAGTAGTAAGTCTTCAGCCGTTAGATTGCTTGGAGATCAATGGCCAAAAATGCTAGATGTATTAAAGCTAAAACGACAGTGTAAAGACTTCACTCATTATCAACTCCCAGCAGTGAATACGTCCTAAAATAGCAGAGTTAAAACAGGTAAATATTCTAGCATAGATTTTACTAAAAAATCAGTTTGAACTTATGTTGAATCTCATATGAATAAAAGATAATTAAACATACTAACCATGATGACTGCTTTGATGTTGTCATTACTTAAGGTAAATTCATGGTCTCCATTATTTTGCAAGTTCAAAAGAACGTTTAAGAAATCTTTATGATCATCATCCACTTCACGATCATTTGTCTTCCTTGTTGCCCTTCTACTTTTATGCTCATTGATAATGGCGTCAAACAATCTATCAACTATGTCATGAATCTCCTTAATTTTACTCTTTACCCCACTGATTGAGTCAATAAATTCGAAGGAAGGAAACACATTAGCCGCAGTGAAACCTCCTGCCAAATCTATACCTTCTTCAATAGCACATAAGAATGCCTCTTGATCTTTCATTTTTCCTCCAAACGCCGCTCTTGTCGTGATGCCAAATGTCATCGAATAAATTTCTTTGCTAAGATTAATCGTTCTTCCTGCCCTTGAAGAAATCCATCGAACAAGATTGGACACCTTCTCTTCCCGGATTGATCTAAAAGATAGCACATATTTTAGAGTTAAAAGTTGACTCATGCAAATCTTTCGCAACTACTTCCAGTAGTACCTATATGGTGCAAACACAATGTCTGTGCAACCATAAGCTATAATATTTGCAACAAGAACAACAGGCCTTTGAGTGAAGGTAGCATCATGAGTTTTCATCACTTTTTGAGCGGCTTTAGGTGAAGAAATGATAACAGTTGGAATTTGGCTGAGTTGTAAGTACATAAAAGGACCATATTTATTTACCAAATCTCTTAGCTTGCGATGAGGCAAAACGCCAATGAAATGGAGCATGTTTCCAATAAGTGGCACCCACCATGGCCCTAGCGGTAATCTTAAACTTGATTTCTTGGTTATGGAATCCTTAAATGCAATGCAGGTGGGATTATAAAATAGGGGTTTTGAAGCTCCATGAGAGTTGGGAGATGGTGATCAATGTAGAGAGATGAGAGGTTAATTTCTCTACTTAATTTGTGTTGGATCCAACAATTGGATTACAGTCTTACTTATATGATGATACAGTGCAATGGCAAAGTTAAAATCTTTGAGCCAAATTATGGATGGAGTAATCCTCCACCCCAGTCTTCACGTCGTGTATGAGCTGAACTTAAAATACAATAGATATAATTGCAACAAATTATATAGTAATCAACTACAAATGTCTTTTATCATCATGGACATAGCTCATTAATATCTGGTCTTAGTGTGTAAGATAGAATTTTGGGAACACATTGACCAAAAGAAGTCTTTGGTCAAGTCAAGAGATGGTCTACTGAGTGGAATTAGCACTTAGATTTTTAATACTGATTGCATATTATTTTTTAATTAAATTAAATTTAAAATAGTATAAATAGAGCATGATAAATATTGCACTTGTTTTTGGTTTTTAAGTCATTTTATGAAAAATTAAATATCAAATAAATATTGCGTGCACCTCAACTAATCCTCCAAGGCCCTGAAGTTAATGACCGGATATACCCTCCAGTGACCACTCCTATTAACGAGAGGAATTAACAATAGTAGATCTTATCTAAGTTTTTTATCAAGTAAAAATTCTGTTATAGACGAACAGTAGCACCATGCTTTCTTCAGGTAAAATAACAATGACCAAAAGATGCAACACTAACATTAGTGGTGTCTTCTCTTCTTCTTGTAACATTACCATGATAAGACAGAGCAATGTTAACATTACCAGTTGCTCCCCTTCCTGTAAGCTGTTACTGTGGTGATATGCAACGGTAATGTTGCCAATGCCACCAACATTACTATGTTGGTAATGAAATGGTAACATAACCAGCACCTCCTATTCAAGTAACACTACACAGGATATATCCATATGTTATTACATATTGATTTCTCGGCTCTAGTACATATGTTCTCAGGTTAAGTCCATTTGTTTATCCAATCCAATACAATTTTATAGTCTTTGTCAAAGATGTTTAATCCTCGATCAATTGAGTCTTTTATTAGCATCTGTTGGAATATGAACACTTTTTGCTAATTGATGAAGATATTGTTGAAGAAAAAAAAAAGCAAGAAAAAAAAAAAAAGAATTTAAGTTTTAGGTAAATTTTTATTTTAGGAATTTGTAATTGAGAATATTTGTTTTCGTTTACTTTGAGTTGTATTAGGAAAGAAGAATTGATTTAGGATTTTATTTAGAGTTAAAATAGGTAAATGAATTAAATTAGAGGAGTCATATTAGGATTTGAAATATGAATCCTAGTAGAAAAAAAAGTCTTATTCTACCTACAAATAGAGGGGTTAGAACCAATTCAATGTTATAAGATAGAGAATTGATAAAGTGGGCTTGGGTTTAGCTCAAGGGAAGAGGGAGCCCAACCACATATATACACTCTAATAGTCCACCAACTTCAATACCCTCCCTCACGCTCGACGTGCAAGGCCATGTCCAAAAACCCATCATCACCTTAAACAAACGTGGCTCTGATATCATGATAAAGGATGAAATGACTTGGGTAGAACTCACTCCCAAAAATTAACTCAAGAGAAGAGGGAGCCCAACCACATATATATACAATAATAGTCTACCAACTTAGCAATATGGGACAAATTCAATTTTAATAGGAATAAGAGAAAGAAAGAATGTGAGGACACAAGGGTTTTGATGTAAGGGTACCATAGGGTCGAGAGCTCTAGGTATCAGGTAAATACTAAGGGGTATTAAACACCATAGGAACAAGATGTCTGCCTATGTAAAAGATTGATAGTGTTGTACTGATAACACCACAGGGTGGAATTTCTGCCTAAATACCAGGTTCATGGTGTGATGCACTCATGTATTGTGTTTTGAAAATTATAGTTGATCTTTCTCATTTGTTGATGTAGGCAAGTTATATCGAACCACGTAAAATATTGTGTTCCTATGTGATTGATATTCTTCACATATTTTACTGTTCTTTATTTTATTTTTATTTTTTTGTTTTACTCCTCTGATCTTTAACACCATCTAATATATATCACTAACCTCCCCTCAACATTAGCCAATGGTCATTTGAATATCACTTGAATCTCCTGATATTGTCTTAGTACGAAACTCGTTACTATAAAACATTATGATTTATCTTATTATTTACCAAATTATACAAATAGTTTAAAAAATTTAAAGAAAGACTAATATCGTCGATACTGCTTAACTTGCAAACAATAAAGATGAAGTACTAAACAAATAGATATATATTGCAATGCTTGAGCCTATGCAACAGGCCATGGATGATGTTCAATTTTTTTTATTATTACATTGTAACGCCCACTTAGAGGTACATAATTTAATTTATGCTCTTATACCCTTAATTGATTTTTGTTAAAGTTATTTTGAGAAAATGTGAAGTAAATGCCTTAAAATTTCATTAGGGGTAAAATGGTCTTTTCACTCATAATTAGTTGAAATTGTGGGGAGTGAAAAGAGATAGAATTTCATGGAGAATGCAATAAAAATGAGGGCATTATGGTAATTGACTAAGGGACATAGATGAAATTTAAATAAAGTGCAAGGGCAAAATGGGAAACTAATATATAATTTTATGTTACATCAAGGATTGAAGAGTGAAATCCTAGCCACTCTTCATCCATTTTCACGCCACGTTCACCTCCATATTCTCTCAATTTCTTCAATTCTTCTTCAAAGGAAATTCATAGATTTTGGGTATTTTTGAGTGGATTTTCAATCCCAAGCATCTTTAGGTAAGATCCTTCCACTAAGAGGTGAGTTTTAATTTTTCAAGTGTTGTATTTTGATGGTTTGTGTTCATAGGATTTAAGAGGAAGAGAGTTTGATCAAAGAAGATTCTTAAAGGGTTGGATTGCTCACATATAAGGTAAGTAAATCCTACCCTAAGTATGATTTAAGTTATGTTGTGTAGAGAATTTTCTTTTATGCATATATATATATATATATGTGTGTTATATGTAGAATTGTTGATGGATTTGGTGTTGAATGATGATTATAACTTATCCATGAGAAGTTGTGTTGGTGTATTTGATGCTTGATGAATGTTTAGATGAAATTTGGAAAAATTGAAGTGAAAATTTTGGAATGTTTATTTTGGGCAGATTTGGTTTTAAATATGGAGGGTTTTATTCCCACTTTTTGGAGGCTTAGAAAAGAGATGGAAGTGTAGTCAAATTAGAGTTGCTTTGTGCACATAAGTTATTTGATGAAATGTCAAAGAGAAGTGTTTATATGAGTATGATTATGTGTTATATTAAGATGAGTTTGTAGATGGTAGAGAATGACATGTTTGCATTCCATATTGCATAATTGCATTTAAACATGTGAATTTAGAAAGAATTATAAGCATGAAACCATCTACATGCATACATATCCATAAGAGAATACAAAAGCACTAAAGAAGGGTAAAGAGTAAATAGAAAGAAATGAGAATATTAAAGAAGTTCAAATCTGAATTTTATTTAAAAAAGTGTAAAAAGATAAAAAGAAGAAAAGGTTGTGGCGATGGGGAACCGTGAGTGACAAGAAGAATTTTCCCCACATGCGCGCCGCCTTTAGTGGGCGGCCTAAGAAGAAGAAAGAAGAATTGGTACATTCCGTAAAAATGCATGTGGATGAGAGCTATACCCAAGAAAGAAGAATACACTCACACGGCCAAGGTTTCAAATTCATGCCTCAACCGAGTCCGATCGGCAAAAGAATAAGAAAAGAATGAGAAAGAATAAGATAGAAGAGAAAGAAAGAAGCCCAGTAAAGAAAGAAAAACAGAATAAGAAAAATAGAAAAGAAAATGCATATTTTATACATTTGTGCATTTGCATTATATATATGCATACTACCAAACCCATTATCTGAGTAGTGGGGAATTAGAATAGAGAAAGAACAGAGAGAAAAATAGAGTAAGAGTAGAGAAAGAATAGAGAAGAATGGAGAAATGTGAAGTAAGGAAAGAAATGCAGAATTTAAGCAACTGAGAGAGAAGGGTAGCATAGCAGGTTTACTTATTGAGCAATTAATGCTCACCCCCTTGTTTTCAATGTTTTTGCAGGTAACAGGTGAAATGTGGTCACTGGGAACATCACGCAGTGGAAGGGCTAGGCAAAACTGTCAAGTTAATATTTTGAGACTTTATTATATTATGTAAAGTTTGTGTATAAAGAAAATTAAATATAGGCCCATACTTTCATACTCGTTTATATATTTTCTTATATATATTTAATGAGTTTTTACTGTTATTTTAGAAGTATATTAGCTAGAAAGAGAGACATTACATACATTCGTTCAGAAACAGTTGGAGCATTTTTTATAATTCCCTAAACCACAGAGAGTTTTATGAATAATTAAAAACCTTAGGAACATAGTGTTATTTACCTACTAAAAATGCTACCCTTTTTCTTCCAGCAAGCTTATGCATTTGTGGAAGGATGATGAGGAACATGAATGATGTGAAGATCCTCTTTTCTTCTTGTTGTTGAACCAAATTTCTCAGTCATATCCAAATCTTCAAGTTTCATTCCATTCGGAAGTTTCCAATCAAAATGGTACAATAACATTGCTAGTGGAAGCTTAGTGTCAGCAAGACCAAATGATATTCCTAGAGACGTTCGCCTACTAGCACCAAATGGGATGTATTTGAAATTAGTCCCCTTAAAGTCAACAGAACAATCCAGAAATCTCTCTGGACTAAAGCTCTCAAGTTCACTCCAATATTTCAGATCTCTTCCAATTGCCCATGCGTTAACAATGACTCTAGTTTTGATGGGTATATCAAATCCATTAATCACACATCTCTTACCACATTCTCTTGGAACCAATAAAGGAA